GCTCAGTTATACATGTAAAAAATTATCTTTAAAGTTGTTCTTCTCATGAACGAAAAGTTTGTCAAAATTACTGGACAGTTCCTCCAGAAGAGTAGATCTAAATTTAATTCAGGACACTTGGTTTGATATATGGGTAGAATGAAAGTTCACAACTCTGTTTTAGTGTTGTTGCCACCTTTTTTTTTAACAACGATTTCTTCTTTTCAGGGAATGGCATGTGTTGGAAGACAAAAAGTATGCAATGTGGTCCCTCCAAATCATTTTGGTCCCATCCCTGGTGTGGAAGTAGGAACCATGTGGAAATTCAGGGTTCAAGTATGTAGCATCTCATTCATTCTTACATCTGTATTTGTTTTATGTAATGTATTGTTCAATACACTTCAAGGGAGAAAGAGTGAAAAGCATTGAAATGTGTAATGGGACCCAGGTCTTGGTTCTAGAGGTCAAGGACTATGACAGATCAGAAGTTAGAGAGATCAAGAGTAAATTTGTTGAATTCTATAAGGGAAAAAAAAAAAAAAAGAACCAGGGTTTCACTTCAAGAGATCAAGAAAATTTGAGAGATTGAAATTTGAGTTTTCAATAAACAGTTTTTTTTCCTGTTTAAAATGTAGACAAATTTCTTGGAAACATTGGCATTCACAGATTCGGAGCAAATTCGAAGAGGCAGTATAAAAGAGAACATCTCGAGTCTGATATATTTTTGGATTACTTCCGATCTTGACTAAGTGGGAATATTTAATGTATAGAACAAATGTAGCTGCTATAATCTCTTTACATTAAATAATACATTTGTATGTCATTTGTGGTGTAAAAATTTAATGACAAGTTTATTAAATTAGTTTCTTGAGATTATATAAAAAAAAAATTAAAAACCACTACCAAAAATTTCATAATAAATGAATTGCTTCCTTCCCAGGTCCCCTTGTATGAAACAAATTCTAAGCTAGGTCCCCTTGTATGAAACAAATAAATTCTAAGCTTGGTCCTTTTGTAAAGAAAAAAAAATTCTGTGGGTGGTACCCCTGAAACTTTTGGAGTCCATGAGTAGGGTAGATTTGTTTTACTGGGATAGCCCTTTTCTGTTTTCCTTGCTTTTGCAGAAATAATTCTGGAGGGAAATTTTCAGTGAAAAAAAATTGGAAAAATTACTCTTGAAGTTTTCCATTTTGCATTATTTGGTGATCTAAATGTCTAAAAGAGAACATTAGAAGAAGAATATGTTGAAATCTTTTTGCTATTTGTATTTACTTCATTGTAGGTAAGTGAAGCAGGTGTTCACAGACCACATGTGGCTGGCATCCATGGCCGTGATGGGGAGGGTGCTTATTCTATTGTGCTCTCAGGAGGTTATGAAGATGACAAGGTACCTTTTAATAGGATTCAATTGATTGGAAATTGTAATACAGAAAATAATGTTTTCACAACTGTGTTCAACATTCTCTGCTGAATATTAACTATATTTTTATGGTTTGATGGTGAAAATGTATTTTTCTTTTAGGACAATGGTGATGAATTTTATTACACAGGAAGTGGAGGTAGAGATTTATCAGGGAACAAGAGAACAGCTGAACAGTCCTGTGATCAAAAATTAACCAGAATGAACCGGTATTTACATCGTACATTATGTCCTTTTGAAGAATTTTGCTTATTAATAACTTTTCATCTAGGGATTGTATTAGAATTATGCAAAAAAATCTTCACTCAAGTACAGTAAACATCTTTTATAACGTATCTCAGGGGACTGTGATAAATCCTACATTATAACTGGATAACTGGTGTACGTTATAAACGGAGACCGGAAGTACACAGTACACCTTTACCGTAAGCACTTTCCAAACCGCTAGTGTCTTATTGATATTTTAAAGTATGTATAGTATGTAAATAAATGATTTACGGGTATACTTAAGTGCTGTACAATCTTGATGATTGTCAGATCATATAAAAAGTCCGTAATGTTTGTCTGTTTGGCCTGACGACATTTATTTACAAAAGTCTCCAGAGTTGCCAGAGTCGTGAAAACTTCGGACTTATGCCCTTTGATCGTCTGGGTAGATGGTATGCACGTGTCAGGCATGACCTCGTCGTCCTCGCTGTCTACTGATATTGAATCAATGTATTTTTCTTTCACAAGTTTAATTATATCATTTTCGGTTATATTGCTATTTACTGACTCAGAGATGAATTTTTATTCAAACAATTTTGAGTACATCTACTTGATGAACTTTATTCAAACAATTTATTATAAATATGTACATCTACCTGAAACAACAAAGAAACCTCGTTAGAAAAACACCCATACGGAGAAGCTATAAAGTCAACAAACCGTGACTAATCCGCAGTTATTGCTCTGAAAAGATGTGAAACCATGTGTCAGAATACATTATAAGAGGTGTAATTATGTAACGGGACCAAATTTCTAATACTTTATAAGCGATACTACGTTATATACAAATACGTTGTAAGTGGTGTTTTTTCCAATGAAATATATAGACATGTTGCTGGGACTACGGAATGGCTACTTTACATCCGGAGATACTTTATAACCGAGTACGTTATAAAAGAAGTTTACTGTATGTAGTATGTCCAAAAATTTGAAAATTCTTCAACATTTACAGAGCTTTGGCCAAGAATTGTAATGAACCTATCAATGAGAAAGGAGCAGAGGCAAAAGACTGGAAAGGAGGAAAACCACTGAGGGTCGTTCGTAATTGTAAGGGGAGGAAGCATTCAGACTATGCCCCAGAAGAAGGCAACAGATATGATGGCATATACAAGGTCAGCAGAAACTTGTATTTTATCTGAACTAGTTTATGGAGGTTATATTGGAATCAAATTGTCTCATCCATTGAAATGCTTGGATGCTTAATTCTGGTTGAACATGTGCAACTTTGAGAGCAAGAGCAGATTAGGCTTAGATAAATTCCATGAATAAAGACAAATCTATGCAGAAGAATAAAATTTAAATGTGTAACACAGGTAGTGAAGTACTGGCCAGAGAAAGGAAAGTCGGGGTTTCTGGTTTGGAGGTACCTGATGAGACGGGATGATCCAACTCCTGCTCCCTGGACTAAAGCTGGGGCCAAGCGGATCAAGGAATTAGGGCTAGAAATGCAGGTGAGCAAGCTGAAGACTTCAATGAAATATATGGTAGTTTACTGTATGGATTGTCATTGTACTGTTACAAAGAGTACAAATATTCATGATGCATGTCTTGATACTCAGGATTAGATTCCCTGTACTGAAATATGGAAAACTTCAGAATTGACTTAAGACTTTGTACACATACCTTAGGGTTGTGGTGATGCAGGTTGTGACTTTTGATCAGTTTGAATTCTTTGTTACTCTTTCTGGATAGCATTCTCAAAAATTTATGCAACTTTAAATATGGCACACTTTTCTACATCCTGTGTGTAATTTTGTCGCCTAAATATTTAGTCTGAGAAAAGCATTTTTTTTTTTTTACTTTGTGTAAATCTGTACATTTCAGTATCCAGATGGTTATTTGTAAATCTGTACATTTCAGTATCCAGATGGTTATTTGTAAATCTACATTTCAGTATCCAGATGGTTATTACTTTGTGTAAATCTGTACATTTCAGTATCCAGATGGTTATTTGTGTAAATCTGTACATTTCAGTATCCAGATGGTTATTTGTAAATCTGTACATTTCAGTGTCCAGATGGTTATTACTTTGTGTAAATCTGTACATTTCAGTATCCAGATGGTTATTTGTTAATTTGTACATTTCAGTATCCAGATGGTTATATGTAAATCTGTACATTTCAGTATCCAGATGGTTATCTTGAATCTCAAGCCAAGAAAGAGGAGGAAAATAAAGAAAAGGAAAAACCTGCAAAGAAAGGAAAGAGGAAAAGGAAAGACTCAGGTAAAAGAAAAACATATGTATCTACCAACAATTAAAAATATTCTTCAGAATATTTTGAACTGGCTGCTAGTAATGAAACAAGTCAAGTGCCTTGAAATAAATATATATGTTTAAAAAAAGAGTTGCATTATTTTGTTTGCAGCTTGAACTCATTTTTGAAGTTTCGCTTTGTAATCATGATTGTACTTTGAGTTCATTTTGTTTTTTGCAGACTCTTCTCCAAGTGGATCCCCAGAGAAGAAGCAGAAGGTAGCAGCATACAAGATTGATGCTGAGCAGAAGAAAAGGATTTCACAGGACGACGTCAACAAGAAGCTATGGGACGAGGCAGTGGAACATGCTTCAGAAGGGGGACAGGTATCTTATATTGAAAGATAAGATGTGTGTAAAATTGACATATTCTGTATTTAGAAGTAGGGGTGTTGCCATTTAATATTTTTAGCTCACCTGAGCTAAAAGCTCAAGTGAGCTTTTCTGATCACATTTTGTCTGTAGTCCGTCTGTAAACTTTTCACATTTTCGACTTCTTCTCCAGAACCATTGGGCCAATTTCAACCAAACTTGCCACAAAGCATCCTTGGGTGAAGGGGGTTCAAGTTTGTTCAAATGAAGGGCCATGCCCACTTTCAAGGGGAGATAATTAAGAATTAATAGCATCTTTTAAAAATCTTCTTCTCAAGAACCACAAGGCCAGGAAAAATGAAACTCATGTGGAAGCATCCTCAGGTAGTGTAGATTCAAGTTTGTTCAAATCATGACCCCCGGGGGTAGGGTGGGGCCACAATGGAGGATCAAAGTTTTACATAGAAATATATAGGAAAAATCTTTAAAAATCTTCTTCTCAAGAACAGCAAAGCCCTGATTGGTCATATTTATATAGAAGCATCCTCAGGCAGTGAAGATTCAAATTTGTACAAATCATGACCCCTAGGGGTAGGGTGGGGCCACAATGGAGGATCAAAGTTTTACATAGAAATATATAGGAAAGATCTTTAAAATTCTTCTTTTTAAGAACAGCAAAACCCTGATTGGTCGTATTTATATGTAAGCGTCATCTGGTAGTGTAGATTCATATCTGTTCTGAACCCTGGGGGTAGGGTGGGGCCACAATGGAGGATCAAAGTTTTACATATAAATATATAGGAAAAATCTTTAAAAATCTTTTACTCAGGAATAGCAAAGCCCTGATTGCAGGGTTAGAAACTCCCTAAAATTACAACTCGCAAATAATTGCGAGTACCAAGAAAGTGAACTCGCAATTTCGTAAAACTACTCGCAATTTTCATATAAAGTTAAATTTATATAAATTAAATACATGTAACATAAGGAAAAAGTAACTACTGTACAATGCACAAAATACAACTACAGTGTGATTTTTAGTTAAATTACTGAATTTAAATCAAAAGCAATTTATTCTGTCATATTATATATTTTTGATAGTTTCAATGCAAAAAAAAATCAACTCGCAACTTTTTGCGAGTTACCTAATTTTTAACTCGCAATTTGGGAATTCTAACTCGCGTTTTGCTATTTGTATATAGTGAATTTCGAACCCTGCATTGGTCATATTTATATGGAAGCATCCTCGGGTAGTGTAGATTCAAGTTTGTTAAAATCATGACCCCCGGGGGGATCGAAAGTTTTCATAAGATCATATAGGAAAAAATTTCTTCTCAAGAACAGAAAAGCTATGTTTGGTCATTTTGATATGGAAGAATCTTCAGGTAGTGTAGATTCAAGTTTGTTCAAATGATGACCCCTGGGATAGGGAGGAGCCATAATGGGGGATCAAATTTTTACAAAGGAATATATAGGAAATTTTTTTTTTTAAAATCTTCTGAAGTACAACAAAGCCATTTGTTATATTGACATGGAAGCATCATCAAGTAGTTTAAAATTCAAGCCCCCCCCCCCCCCCCCACATAATCTTTTCAATACTGTGCTTTTGCCTAGCCAATGTGCTCAGGTGAGCGATGTGGCCCATGGGCCTTGTTATAAAACTTATGGAAAAAATTAGCATGTGTAGTATGTATGGTACAGTGTTTACTTTTGTACAATACTGGTAAGTTTACTCTGTTTTTGATGCACTTGTGTGCTTTTATTCTAGAAATTCCTGCAAAAAGTTGAAGAGCTCTTTACTTGTATTTGTTGTCAAGAGATTGTCTTCAAACCAGTTACAACAGAATGCAGTCATAATGTTTGCAAGGTAATGTACAAGCATTCCTCATTTTCATAGACCCCCCCCAAAAATTTCAGGGATTTATCAGTACCTTCTCAGGGGCCGAAATTCAGCCCCATTCCCTATTGAAAATGAGTTCAATTTTTCCCAGTTTGGCAGTATTTTTTCCCAATTGGTGAACAATGCTTTTATATTTAGTTATTTTGGAAAAAACTCAGTAAAATTGTCATATTGTCTGTAATTTTCCTCTATTTATCTCATTTAGCAAAACTACAGTCATAACACGTTTAAAAACACTGTTAGTAAACATCGCCGACTTTTATTCCGAATTTCCTCCGTTTTTCTGCAAATGGTGAAACAATGTATTGTGTAATAATATGTAAATTTATTAAGTTATTTCCACCTATTCAATTGATCTAAGAGTGAATGGTAAGAACTGTAGGCATATATTAATTATTTCAGATAGAAAAATATATTTTCAATGCATTTTTACATATCAAAAGGGGACTTTGAGAAAATGTGTACTTAGTGTGATTTTTTGCAGGAGGTTTATAATCTCCAGAAACAGATTTTAATCACCTAAATTGGAATCTAATACACACATGTTCTACCCTAAGTTGTGTAAATACTTAATACTCATTGAAGTCAAATTTAGTTAAAATTATTAGTCTATTATTGATAATTATAATTGGTCTTGTATATGATGAAGTTGGATCATATTTAATTGTCTGTTTGGTTACCCAAAATTAGAGTTCATGCTGAAATGTTAAATTAATTACACCTGAATACATGAAGTTAGCAAGATCTTTTAATTTTTCCCAATTTCAGCAAATAGCCTATATTTTCCCAATTCCCTAAAAATGGCATTTCCCAAAAAAGGCTGATAAATCCCTGAATTTAATAAAAGACAGTTTTCCTTTGAAATATGATGATTAATAATAATATGCTTAAACTGTTTCCTTCCAGTCCTGTATAATGAGATCATTCAAGGCAGAAGTGTACTGCTGTCCATTGTGCCGCACTGATCTAGGAAAAGATTTCAAAATGCCTGTCAACGGCACACTGCAAGACATCCTAAAAAAATTCTTCCCTGGATATGAAAGTGGCAGAACATGAATAAAAAAAATAGCTCATCTCAGAAAGTAGATAATAAAATAAGTTTCTGACAACACTGATGTGTAAATAATTATTATTTCTTCAACTTTGAATTGAGTTCTGTCTATTGGTTAAAGTTTCATAGTGTACAATTCAATATGTTTCTATTTATTGTCATATGTTAAAGATAAATGAAACACATGTACTAGCTTAATCATGACAGTGTGAAAGAGATTTTTAAATTGTGCTCAATGAACACCAACATTCCAGTATACTTAAATCCTTGTCCATTTGAAACCTTTATAGATGCTAGTTATCCCTTTGTAAATAGAGGATGTATTATTGCATGTTAAATTGACTAAATATACATATATCCAATATGTTCATCATACCTTTATTTACTTTTTGTTGTGTATTCAGATTGATTATTTTTATTTCTTATAAATTTTTATTTTGACTCAGGATCAGAATACATAGAAGGACAAGCTATTTTAAAACTGTGTTGTCATGAGTGATTGTACAAATCTCTATGAAAATAAGTTTTTGCACATAAATTTTGCTGTCAGTCATAAATGAAGAATACTTCTCAGGTTTGGTCACATTTCCATATATTGTACAGATTTTACTAGTCACTCAGTAATAAAAAATGCATATCAGTTACAACAAATTTACCAAGGTATATGTGCATGTTTTTTTCTGCAAGTATGGATTTTTTTTTTTTTTTTGTAAGTGTGTCTGAATAGAACTTGAAAAGCTTGTGTAGAATGTTTTTATGCTGATGTGTAATTAAAAGTTTTAAGAGCATACATTTCTTACGCTATTGAGATATTTATATTTATATGTTTACTTCATGTACACGTTTGTATAACTGTGTCGATGTTTTATTCAATGCATGTACCTAATGAAATACACCAAGTGTAGAATGTTAGTTATTGTCAGGGAAGTGTAACATTTAGTATGTTTGATTATAATAAGGTCATGCATAAAAAGTCAGAATATGATCCTAGAAACTTAACATCATGGTAGCTCAACTGCAGCAAAAACTTTCTTTTTATAAATGTAAATATATTTTGTTTCAATAGTCTATGTAGAATCAATTAGTCAATAAAATAACTTTTCACATTATTGCATCTGACAATTAATGGAATAAATATTTTCAGCTGTGAAAGTCTATTTTATTTAGTTTTTTTCTTTTGTTTATATTATGTTGTTTAAGCCAAAACTATGGTACATTCTGTGAGGGAAAGATCTGACAGTTCAGTAGGGCAGAGATCAGTTCTTTCTCTCAGAGAATGTACAGTTTGAGGATTAAATCCCACATAAAACATGATCTGCATTATGTTAAGAACATATGCAAAGTAGTTTTAACTTAATGAGTTCCAATAATTGAAGGACCTTGGTGTCTGATAATGCTGAACACCCCCTCTGAATCAAATTTTTAGGAAATACCAGTTAATAGGGATGGGTATTACCAAAACTTTTGTGTCACAATACATCATGATTCTCCTCCTAAATATAAAGATAGTATGATTATCTTGTATGCAATTTTTACTCTGATTTAATGAATTTCCAATATGCTGTAAAATCATAACTTCACTTTTTCATTCATATTTATACAAGAATAAAGCATGTTAGGATGCCATTGAACAAAGAAATGAATTATTTCTAAATTTTATATACCAAATACCAGTATTTTAGTCTCCATATCGGATACAAATCATGCAATAAAACATAATGATATACTGATAAAATCACACATCCCTACCAGCTAAAACTAATTTAAAAAAAAAAAAAAACCAAAGGATTTTCTTCATTTGATACCTGTTCAAAACTTGGTGATGTTATGCTCATTTTTTGTGTTGAGAACATCTAATGGTGCTATGATTTGAAATCAAGAATAAGAAAATTATCACTTGGGAAGGTTACTTTGTGAAGTAAATGTATGCTGCATATTATAAGATTAGATAGTAACAGGTAAACTTGTTTAAAGTCATGATGTTTGCTATAAGCAGTTGTCATCGTAATGTACTCTGTCAGGTTAAGCTATTTTTAAACAAGTAAAACCAGTTTCTTTTGTGCCTTTACTACACATAATAATTTAGAAAGGCTATAAAACTAGAGAATCATCAATTTTGTGTTCAGTCTCTGTAATAAGCCATATAACCTTGTCTTCCTCTGATTGTTACTCATCATAATTTATCGTCCAAATACTAAGATTGTTCCAAGTGAAAGGAGATGGGCGAACATAACGTGCAGAAAGCCTATAGCTTCAGATATATAAAAATCATGTTCAGTTTCTGAATTTAGTATTTAGAGTAAAGTTCTCATTATTGAAATTTTGATAAACAAAACTTTTCTGAGGAAAATTTTCTCGGCAAAATTTATTCTTTTATTGAAAAATTTGTGGGGTTCGAACCCTAGCAATAAAAATTCTGAGTATCATTTTCTTTCGAGACTAGCACGCTAACCACTAGACTACACAAGTCCTGACGAATAGTGGCATTTAAATCATGTTTGTGATATGACCCTTGACTTAATGGACTTCAAGTATTTCTCGAAAAGATACGGATGTTATGCATAAAAGTATATTTTTAAGGTATAGTGGGTCATTGCTCCATATTTTTGGTAACCAAAAAATGTATGTTTTTATGCAAACTTTGAGGATTAACTTTCCAAAAGGTGGAGCGAAGACCCACTCATATCGAAAAACAGTGTAATTATAGTACGAGAAAATGACTCTGTTTGCCCGCTTTGGTGTGTGTCTAATATTTCACAGGCAAATAATTTCAACCTTTGAGGGATTTTTGCAAATTGTAGAGATTTTACATAAAGTATATTTTAATGTTAGACGAAATATCAAGGAAAATTTTGATATAATTGAAATTTAATTTTTCATCTTCATGTTTGTCACACTATAGGCTTATCGCTCGTCATGTTCACCCATCTCCTTTTGGTTCTGGAGAATGAGAATTGCTATAAAACCAAATTTCAGTCTAGAAAGCTGTCTTTCAGATACTTTTCAGATAAATCTGAAGACAAAATGTTTCCAGTCAATACAGGTATGTAGAACTCATGGAAAAATTTCTTTAAATCAGATTTGATAGCTTATTTAAGGAAACAGGCTTATTAAAAATTTGAAGCCAAGTGCAAATTGGTCTTCAACCTTTTCGTAAAGTGCCTCTGGATTAGGGTGAAATTCCTTTAAAGCATGACAATAAGCCTTTCAAATTCTGATGTAATGTGCAGTAGTGCAAAATCATCAATTAGGGGAATTTCATTGTCAGTGATGTTTTACGTGTAACCTTCATTAAAATCAAAAATTTGGTTTTGTTTGATGTGTATTTTTTTTCTCTTGTTTTCTGTTTATCTGGTACAATCTAATAAGTTGAAAATGAATGTCCAGTAAGTTAAATAATGGACAGATTATTGAAACAAATGGGTAACTTAAAGTTTACAAGGACTTTCTGCTATATAACAACTAAATATAACAGACATCATTCACCACTGATTGTGGAATATTAGCCCCTTCCACATCATTTATGATTACTTTAAAATTACTAAAAAATTATTTTCTGAACATTTTATTGAATGAAGATGAATACAATGTACATTTTAACAACATTTTAAAACAAGGGGAAAAAAAGAGCAATACTTCAACACAGAAAATTAACAAGCAATAAACTGAATTCCAGTCCAGATTGTCTCAAACCACCATAAACCGACAAAGGGGCATGTGGTCAGCATTACAAAATCCAATGATCTTCAGATTCTGATGTAAAATTCTTTGAATTAAAAAAGATTAGTTTAGTGAATCTGATTTTTTATCACCAAGTAGGAAGATAGGCAGGCAAAGGTACCAATTAATTACAAGTACCGCAAACTTTTGTTTGGTGACCAACAGACAAAAAAATCCACACAAAAAAAAGGAGTTGACATCAGTTAAAATCATTGGAAAATATTTCTGCACTTTTAATATATATATATATATATATATATATATATATATATATATATATATATATGAGTAAATCAATGAGGTAAATAATATTTTAGGAAGTACATATGTTGATGCATCCCCGTGCAAATGCATGTAGAGATACATTATATAAATAGTGCACGTTTTTGAGGGTAACAGTTGAAATTGACACCCCAAGGAAAACCATTGTCAACCGACGCGTCAGCGGAGGTTGACAATGGTTTTCCGAGGGGTGTCAATTTCAACTGTTACCCTCAAAAACGTGCACTATTTATTTTATTATACTGAATGTCTTATTGATTTCGGATGTCATAAAAAAAATTCGGAGATCGTCGTTAAGTTCACGATTAGAAAGCTTTCAAACTCCCCGCTTCTATTTTTCTCAATAAGAAAGCTTCAGAAAAGATTTACCAACCTCTCTATTGTTTGTTTGCTACTCAGAAAGTCCTTTATCATCTAAAGTTTGCACTCGCAAGGATGTTTCGTCTGTCGTTTGTTGTTTTCAAGTAAGCTACATCGGACGCAAGCTTTTATTGACGTCGTTTATTCAGCTTCTTTCAAACGCACAACCGACGTTTTGAGAATTCTACGGTGAACCGTACGCGCATGATTTGAACGCATGTGATATTTTCGTAATGTTACCCGTTGTCAAGTGTGTTGCTAACGCTGAGGGTAACATTACGGATTGTTAAATGCGTCTAAACCAATCAGATTTTAGTATTTAACATGAAAGTATAATAAATAAATTTAAACCACTAGATATTTCTTCAACAGTTTCTGCTGAAGTTTTACATAAGTATTTCCTATGAAATTCTCTTGATGCCTTACTATTAACATATATGTAAATAAAGCACTGACCATTATATGATTTCGAGATTCAATAATATTGACGTTATTTTATGTGAACAGATTTGTCTCTGCTGGTGCTGACAGAAAAGTATAATGAGAAACATCAGTATGTAAGTCACAAATATTGTTAAATAACTTTCTGCAATCAATGTAAGTTTTAGGTAATACTGAGAAATAATGGGGGAAAAAAACCTGTCACTTAAATTATAAGGGATGGCAACATAAAATTGTTGCAAAACAGTTCATACATGTAACACATACACATATTAAACAATATACTCTATGAAAAGCACATTCCTCAAATTGAAAATGATACTTCTATGTTTTATCACAAAAATCGCAGTGATATTAACTTCAGTGCATTTATGGTCAATAAAATATATTAAATGTACATGTATAATATTACAGAGATTTATTTATTGCTTTTTGATTTTAAAATAGAAGAGTATAAATAAATTTGTTTGAAAAGATTCAAAGCACTTTCATCAATGGAAAAAAAACCATTTAACAATTTCATGGAACGTAACAGCACTACCAAATATACAAACAGTTGTGCAATAAAATAAATGGGTTTGTTTACACAAAAAACCAGTGTAAACTGGCAATTGTTAACATTCATTAACAAATGACAACCAATAACAACAGGGATGAGAGCAACAAGAAAACCAGAAGTCTCTGATGAGACTGTAGCTCTACTGGTCTGTATGAATAACAAAGGAAAAGTAGCACTTGGATTTGAAACTTTGCAACATATGCAACAATAAATAGAATTATGTATCTTAATGTAGTCTACTTGTGTCCCAAGTTATATTGAAATCAAACAAAAACTGTAGGAGGAGTAGCATTTTGAAACTATTTCACAGAATTTCTATTTTAAGTAACCATGGCAACACCAATGAAATCAAAAACCAATATACACTATTATGTATCATAGTGTAGTCTAATTGTGAGATATAATTAGATTGAAATCAGACCAAAACTGTAGCAAGAGTAATGTTTTAAAGGATTTTACAGGAATTTCTATTTTTAGTAACCATGGCAAAACCATTCATCAAAATCAAAAACCATTTCTTCAAATTATGTATCTTAGTGTTGTCTACTTGTGTGCCAAGTTATATTGAAATCAGACTAAAACTGTAGGAGAAGTAGTGTTTTAAAGGAATTTTACAGAAATTTCTATTTTTAGTAACCATGGCAACACTATTATTCATCGAAATCAAAATCTGATGCACTACATTATGTATCTTAGTGTAGTCTACTTGTGTGCCAAGTTATACTGAAATAAGACCAAAGCTGTAGGAGGAGTAGCGTTTTGAAAAATTGTTTACAGACAGACGGATGGAAGACGGACACCTTACTATGGCATAAGCTCTTCTGGTCTCTGACCAGTAGAGCTAAAAAAAAAGTGGAAAATCTTACCAGTCAGAGCAAAGGAGAAACTGAGTAAACTAATAAACACTGTCAAAATTCAAAATGGGTCTTGAAACTTGTTTTTGTAAATAACAGACTGGAAAAGGTGTAGAAGATGGCCTTAATTTGTTTTTTTATCAAACAAATTTCCTTTGCATGTATTATTACAAAAGAGAAATGCCCCAACATCTCTTTGGAAAATCAAAGATATAGCTTTAGCACCACAATCCTTAAAAAAAGGCAAACCAAACAAACTCCTTCAATGTTCAATTTTCTGCTGCAGGACAGGGTACTGGGTCAGACATTTGATCATCGCGTGGAACTTTCTGAACAGATGGACTTTTTCCAAATGCTAAGATTTTCTGTGCTATACTGGACACATTGTGGTCAGTTTCTGGATTGTTAATAAGTTCCATGAGTATCTCTGAACCTCCCTCTTTTTCTAGCATGGGACAATACCTGCTGCCTGTGAACAAATTAAATGAGTGTATATTTTTCCCTCTTACTCACTTCTATCAACTTTCTCTTTCTCCTTAACATATACATACATTTTGGGGATACATGTATCTTACAAAAGCATTTGGTACATACATTGTAGTCTAACACTGAGATATTTCAATACATGTAACCAAGCTTTGCTATTTAAAATGACTTACTGTTTTTAGTACAGACATGTTGAATTGCCCAGACAGCCCACAACTGCACAGCTGGGCAGTCATAACACCTCAGTAAAGGAATGAATGGATTAAAAGACCTGCAAAAACACAACAGCATAAAAAATTAATAGAGTTACTTGTTTAATGTAAGTAAAGATACAGTTTTTGCATGCCTGAAAATCAGATACATGCATAAATACCTGTAGGCCACCATTTCACCATCAGGCTGTTCCCACTCTAAGACTACCTCCCTCTGCAGACAGAAATTTAATATAAATATTTGTACTGCATACCATATTAAATATATATAAAGTCTAAAAATCAATATGCTATGTTCAGATCCAAAATTTAAAGTCTAAATCATTATGGTAACTTGCCAATTCTTTGAGAATCTCCTCTTTGGTGGATACTACCAGCCATTTTTGAATGCTTTCGCTTGCCAGGTGTGATATGATTCCAGCAGCAAAGTAACTGACATCAATCTGTGATGCCCTCAGTAACTGTTTACTCAGCATCAGAAAGTCATCCCTCATCAAGTAGTCCCTTAACTTAGGCACTTCTGCTATGTTGTTCTACAAAAATCTCATTTGTCAAATACATTTTATACCTGTTACCATTGTGTACTAATCTGAAAATATTTATTATTATGCAAGATTTTAAATTTGGGCTTCCTTTAGAATCACATAAATCTGAAATGAAATTATTTGTGGATTTTTTTTTGCGTGGGGTGGAGGGGGGGGGGGTATATATCAGTAATTGTTTCTTCGCCTGGGTGTGTTATCACTTAATTTAACTTACAGTAATTTTCTCCATAAATCACAACTTACAAGGAGTCCCAGTATCTTGGTTTCCACTTGTGTTCTCACATCTTCCTCCATTGTGGACACAGTCTACAAGATATATAGGCAAATACTACTTCATTGTTCATATACGATGTTTGTCACATAAAAGGCCAGCCTTATCTCTTATGTTACCAAGTTTAGAGAATACATGTATGTTGTTTCAGAGAGATTTAGTAGACCATTATGTCACTTATTTTTACCTGTAGTATTGTCATGAATAAATCTAGACCACCTTCATGTAGAAACACATGGCAAGTTGCTGGGGACTCATCTATAAAAATAACATTTGTAAAGAATTATCAGTCTCAAGTTTTCTTCTTTGTAAAACAGCAGATTTTAATATTACAACCATCTTGCACATGTATTGATGTTCAGTCATAACAAGAGGCAAATTGGCTTTTCAATACGTAAAAAATAGATAGACAAGGTGACTCCTATATACAACCTCCCCCTAACTTTGTTTGCATGGGGTTATAAAAGCATGATTTTTGATTTACAAAACTGTAGTAGCCTAATAGTTCTTTAGAAATATTCTATAGGATTAGGACTGAGTATTCCTAGGGGGTAGGTTTGAACAATCTTTAATATGCACTATGGAAGCTTTTACATAAAATTTTATTAACCTAATGCATTATTGTACAAGAAAACTTTTATTTTTTTAAAGTAATATCATAAATTTTTCTTCTTCTTCTCATGGCAATGTCATGATCCCATTATTCTTTAACCTACAAATGCTTGCGAGTAATTTTCATGGAAAAATTTGGAGAAAAGGTTAGAATTTTATTGATGATAAACAAACAGAAGACAAGAATAAAACATAGAAATTCCATGTACCGATATTTAAATCTATAAGAGACAGGTTTGTACTTCTGCTTGGGATTCAACCTGGGGCATTAAGTTAAAAACTCCACTGATTGAGCTAAAGGGTACGTTAAACCACTAACCCAATCTCTAGAAAGCCATCTATCTCACACTTTCATAGAAATTCTTTTGTATACTGGAGTATAACAAAATTACACCTTAATTTTGGCTATAGTTTAAACAGGTTCTAAATAAACTGTACAGATTTAATTAATTCAAATCTTTACCAGTCAAATTCCAGAGGGCACTGAGTGTAAATTTCAGTGTAATGTCTATAGCATTAGACTCTACTTTAGACTTCACAAGTTGTAACATTTTCCTCATATACCGAGGCTTTGCCCCAAGTTGAGATGTCTGATCTGTTGATATCTGAAATATCAATAAATACATCTATAAATCATCTCCCGGTGATTATTATCCCCTAGGTTCAATCATCTGAGAACATAAACAAAACAATTTTTAAATATCACTTTGTACATAAATGAATCAGTCATGATTTGTGTAGGTGGATGCACGATCAGATATTTGAAAACTTCAACAGATTAACTCATTTATTATGGAAAGAGTCTTTTTGTTGTTAAATGCAAAAATGAAAAGCATAAAAACAAAACTAAATTAAAATATACCGGTAAATAAATTAAGAATCAAAAGAAAACATATACTGGTATTTTACATTACTCTTTTAGTTCCATGGGTAAATTAAGAATACAATGCAAAATTTAAATGGTTTTGAAAGAAAATGTGTATTTTACTTCAATATTTTGTTTTAAAGTCATCGAGCGCAGGTCTGTTCCAACTCCATCTTTTGATATAATGTGTAGAATGATAATACATGTACCAATGAAATGCAATGCATGTATGTGAATATTGTACTGGAACAGGTTTGTGCTCTGTAAATTCTCTAGCCAAATTTGAACAAAGTTTGTCCTCTTTCTTCCGAATAGTTTGTGACATCACAAGAAAAGTTGTCATATAATCTTCCTACAAACTATAATATTTTTTTTAATTCAGAATTTTCCTACAATAAATACATTTTAAGAGATTTTCAAAATTAATCTAATACTTTTATGGGGGCAAAAATGAGTCTATAGTTCCTTATATTAATACCATTTTAGTTCACACTCGTGCATAGAAGTTCACATTACTGTGATGTCACAATAAAGCTACTGAGATGGTAATGAAAATACATGTATAACAATATATGACAGTAATAAATTCAAATAGTGAGTGCATTTTTGTTGCTTTTAAACACATAAACTGTAAATACGAGGGCTGTTCGGAAAGTTCATGGACTAGCGCCATAAAATTAAAACCGCTTAAGATACATCAGTGAATTCTTTAATGTTTAATTATCATCATCTTAACTGTTTATATAATAAACTATACATTGTTAGTTTTATTTTTTAATAAATTGTTGATGTTTTTTAAAGCAATGGTATGTCCAAGCGGCGCAACCTCGAAGATAACATTTTTTCTACCAAAGAGTAACTGAGAAAAAAACTCATTTTTTGATATGAGCATTTGTCATTCAAAAACCCCGTTAATTCACTCATGTGGTATGACACAACTGTACTGTAAAATTTGCAATTTTTACCCCATTCTGTAAATTCTATGAAATTTTATCGTAAAATTTATATGAAATGTCCATACAATTATGGGGTTGTAATGACGTCAGAAAGGGGGTGGGTTTCTTTTTCCAACATTCTTTGAAGTTTCGCCCTCAGGAAAAACTGGCATAGACCTAGGAAATATTTAAATAGGCTACTGAAAAATAAAATGCATTCAGAATACTTGTTTTTAAACGCCGAAAAAGATTAGAGAGACAACAGATGTAAAAGTTAATGTCGATTTATTGTAAGGGTGTTCAAAGTTTGTCACGTCGAAAAGTGACGTTGATCATGTGTGATAGATGTTGAACTCCGACAAGCAAATATGCTGTTATAATCAAGTGAGGATCTTTAAGATCTATTTACAATACTATATGCATTGAAACCAGCTGTTTATGACATTGTAAGATCATATAAACAAGACGGCTTTAAATCTTTACTTAACTCCACGGAAACTCATCAAGATAAGTGTATGAGGTAGAGAATGCGGACATTGAAAAACAATGACGTCATGAAACTATACGGCGACAGCGCCGGGTGATCATATAATGTCTCTTTTATTTTATGATAATTTGGTAAATATTCAAGGTATCAAGCTAAAATTTTCAACATTTCTTTAACTTTTGTTGTTTTATGTTCATTAAAAATTTTGTAAGCATAGACTACATAATATTTATTTTATCGCATCAGTCCACGAACTTTTCGAACAACCCTCGTATAAGGAAAGTTTTTTTTAATTATTTAGGCCAAAGTTTTTTTTACACTTGGTTTACGATTCCGCCGACCCTAATTTTCACAAATCATGAAAATAAAAATAATGTCTTTTTCCGACATATTTTTCCGGATTTTTCTCAGCTGAACTGGTGGGTTTTAAATTTTAGAATGCATCTTAGTCAAATAAGCGCTTACAAATATATGAGACCTTTACAAACATTTAGGTGACCGTAAATAAACACATGTGCTAACCAAAAATGGCGGCTCTGTCATGTAACAAGGTAATTCCTCACTGAAAGCAATGACACACACTTAAAGAACTTTTTCTGCATGGAAAAGTGAATAAAATCTTGGATAAATGATCCCTTTCTCCAATTGCAATGTCTCAATTGGCTAAATTCATACCGTAATATTGGAGAGTGTATGCCCAACCCTGATCGACCTAGCAGACACGGATACACCTATAGATAATAAGGATTTATCAGTGCCTTCTCAGGGGCCGAAGTTCGGCCCATTCCCAATTGAAAATGAGTTCAGTTTTTCCCAATTTGGCAGTATTTTTTCTCAATTGGTGAACAATGCTTTTATTTTTAATTATCTTGGGAAAACACTAAGTAAAATTGTCAGATTGTCTGTAATTTTAACTCATTTAGCAAAGCTACAGTCATAACACATGTTTAAAAACACTGTAAAAACATCGCCAACTTTTAATCCGAATTTCCTCTGTTTTTCTAAAAATGATGATATTGTGTAATTATACAGATTTATTAAGTTATTTCCACCTACTCATTTGATCTGCAAGTTAATGGTAAGGACTTTAGGCATTATTTCAGTTATAGAAAAATATATTTTCAATGCATTAATACATATTAAAAGAGGACTTTTAGAAAATGCGTTCTTAGTATAATTTTTTGCAGGAGGTTTATAATCTCCAGAAACAGATACTATAATGATCTAAATTGAAATCTCATACACACATGTACATGTACTACCCAAGTTGTATAAATGCTTTATACTCATTGAAGTCCATTTTACTTTTATTAGTCTATTATTCATAATTGATTTTGTACGAATAAGATGGATCATATTTAATTGTCATTTGGTTGCCCAAATTAGAGTTCGTGCTGAAATGTTAAATGAATTACCCCTGAGTACATGATTTAAGCAACATTTTAAAAAAAATTTGCAATTTCATCAAACAGCCGATAATTTTTTCCCAATTCCCCAAAAATGGTGTTTCCCAAAATAGGCTGATAAATCCATGGATAATAGTTAGGCCAGTTTAGTGTTGAGAGATACATCTTAATAGTTGAAGCAACGTTGACTGGTATTTCACTGGAGAAATTCAAATGTGTATAAAACATTTGTTAGTTTATAGAAGTAAATTCAATATACAAATCTTTGCAAATTTCATACTCAATTGAGATTAAAGTCCTTTGAATTACTAATAAATAATGAGCATTGCCTACTGTACAGGTACATAACAAACATTTAAAGAAGGACTTGATTGAGAAATTATTAGGCTTTTTTGCTGCAGGTTGAACATTAAATTTGATAGCTGCATGATCAAATTATTATAACCTTTATTTCAACGTCAATTACTTTTAATATTGTTAAACACTTCAATTGTATTTTTCTTCAATCTAAATTTAACTTGAATCTGGATCCTTATTTTTAGTTTGTGGGGATACCAAGGTTTATAACACATCACATATCACTGAAGAGCACAAAATGTTGAACATCATGAACCAAGCACTGATTGACAAACAAAAATCAGAACTATATGTAAATGAAAATGACATTCAGTCTAAAGTTAGAAATGAATTAAAATTAAATAAAAAGAGTTATGTGATCTAGACAATAAAACTTAAAAGTACTATTGACGTGTATTATTTATATTAAAATAAACATTTCTGTTATTTTATAATGAAATTGTTGGATCCAAAATTATTTTTATTTTTATTTTTCGACCACCCAATGCATTTTTTTGAGACAGAAAATCGTAAACCAAAAAAAATAAAAACTTTGGCCTTAATGTTCTTAGTGAGAAAACCACACAGATTTGTCATGTAAGCATATCACTCATAAAACTAGAAAAAATTCCCTACAGAAAACACAACCATCATATTTACCAATTTGTCAAACATCAATAAATGAATTAATAATTCTTTAATAAACAATTTACATGTAATTTGAGGAAAAAATATCTTCCCACTTGCAAATACTTTATACACGATTGAATATTCAATACAGAGCCAATGAAGTCTTTATCATATCAAGGTGATAATAATAATAATAATATTGTGTAAAACACACCCATAATATTTATCAATTAATAGTTACAAATAAAAATACTACATAGACATACTTTTTCTGCATGGGATTAATTTATGCTATGTACATGGTTACAGATCTTCCATGGAAATTTGTCTCAACTTATTTAAATTTCATTTGTGATTTACAATAGCAGTCCAAGAAATCTGTGTAATTTTTATCAGCATATTGAACAGAAATTGTGATTCTAAAGAATTATGGGAAAAATATATTTTAATAAATAATCATTTTACATGCATTGTTTATAAGTTCCCATCCCCTGTACAAATACATGTGTAAATAGCACACAGACATGAAATAAATCGAACCTTAGCAGCCAATATGGAGCAGATTGCCACTGACATCCTATTCATTGAGGGGTCATGAAATTGACAAAGACATTCCATCACAAGCTTGGCACAGCGGAATCTGTCAAATGTCTGAAAGATAAGAAAATAAGTGTTTAAAAAATTTAACATTTTCCTGTGTAGAACCACCAAAAGAACTAGAGAGCTGATTAAATGAAATGTTATGAATGAACAGTTACTACTAAACTTCTCTTTTTTCTCTTTTTTTTTTTACATAAGCCTGTGAAAATTTTAAACATTTGATATAACTGAGTTAATAAAGTGCCCCGCCACAGCATGATACGCCCGTCAAATATTGTTCAATTCTCATAAACAGTTTAGAGTGCAAGAAAATCATGTCAACCTTGATTCAAAGATTTCCATGATTTTTCCATTCCTTATAATATTTGCTGCTTATACATCTCTTGAAGTGTAGACATTAATTATAACAAATATTACATCATAGATTTCTCAGCTGGTTGTGTCAGAGCTTGACAAATGCCCATCTGCAAACCCCCCAACCCCCATCCTCATCTTTCATATTTGTTTGATATTTTCAAAAAATTAAATAAAAATATCATACTAAACAGTATCAAATTAGTCTTAACAATTTAATCTATACCAAATTAATTTTGAAACTAAAAGGCTGGCCATCAAATGACATATGCTATAAACTGACTAGTAGATCTGTCTAATTCCCAAAGGATGCAGATAAGAACCGCTTGATCAGAGATGCTCTCACAGAAATGATTGAAACAGCTAGCCTTCCTACATTGAACTCATTAATTAATCTTTAACTGGATGCATGTCCACTCATTACTCCCAAGGGATGAATGGATCTGCACTATCTGCTTTGTAGTCTGTATTGCAGTAAAAATGCATATTTATGTCATTCTGTTGAAAACAGAGATTTTTTTAATTTGTTACAAAGATTTATAAGAAACAAAAACTTGTGTAATCTTGATGCAACATTTTTAATAGGGTTACAGCATGACTCTTAGATTTGTAGGGACTATATCTACCACATTTTTTAAAAAAAATACTTGATTTTTTTTTTTTTGAATTTTAATGTCAAAACTGGTTTTAAGCTGCAGTGCATATGAACAAATGGACATGCTGATCCCCCCCCCCCCCCCCCCCCCCCCCCCCCCGCTATAATTAGTTTAAATTATATTATACAATATCAAATTAGTTTATTTTACAATATCATACAACATCAAATTAGTTTTAATTACTTTTCACCAAATTCATTTTAAAAGTTATGCTAGCCAACAAAATCTATTTGATTCCTTTGCCCAATTCCCAAGAGATATAGATAACACCTACTTGATCAAGATGCTCTACCAGTTAGCTCCTCACACTAAAACTCATTAATTTCTCTCTAATTTGACATGCTGTTTTCTGTTATCAAAATTCTCCTTGACCAGTGCTTAATAATTACACCCATGGGAGAGGTGGAATTTCTCTTATAACATTACATTTGTTATAGATTGCTGTAAAGTATATAATGAAAAAAATAAATATTTTCTTGATTTAACACTTTTTAATAAGGATACTGCAACACTCTTACATTTTTTGGGATTGTGTAATTCAATAGTATAGAGACACAGTTTTTTTTTTAAATTTCACTTAAATTAAAGGTCACAGTGACCTTGAAATAGGTCGCGACACACCTTCTACTTAAGATGCATAATTGGCCAAGTTTGATGATTCTAAGTCTAATAGTTTTCTAGTTATGAGCCGGACAGGATTTTTCCATATTTGGCCATAGCATCTTAATTAAAGGTCAGAGTGACCTACTTTTAATGTGCGACACACTTTCTACCCAAGATGTATCAACTGACAAAGTTTGATAATTCTAGGCCTAATAGTATTAAAGTTATGAGCCGGACACGAAAAAGCTAACAGACGGACGGACATGAACGCCATAACATAATATGTCCCGTCTTAAGACGGACGTATAAAAACAAAGATTACTTACCACATCATTTAAAATCCTATCACTACATAACGTCAACAGAGCATTTTTCTGTAGCTGAAAACATGATAACAAAATTCAATAGGAGAAATATCATTATAGTACATTATAAAGATGTACATACTTTTACAGCTTAAGAATTTTACAAACTAGGGCTGTCATGATTTCAAATTTCAGTTCATTAAATTTTTGGTTTGGTTTCGGGTGCTTCGGTTTGGTTCATTCCATCTATTTTAAACTTTAATTTCATGAATTAAACTTTAAAAATCTGTATTTGTTGCATTTAATTCAGCTTTAAAAACAAGTTTTAATCATTCTAGCATCTTGACATCAGTGTTGAGGACCAATAGACCAACATGACCAATCTTGCTCCTTTAGATAATTATCCCATCCCTTAGTGACGAGTTTTTGGATGAAGTAGATTTCAGTTGTGATGTTTTTTTTATCACTGTCACCATCCTTATTCGTTTGATTTCAATGCCATTTTTGTAACAGATTCTAAACGCAAGTGCCCACAGTGGTTTTCGGTTAATTTGGGGAACCTTGACAGCTCTTATATAAAATAAAAGCTTTGATTTAATTGCCTACCTGTTGATGATTGGGGAAGTTCTCCATGGCTAACAGTGTCAGATTGACTATTTGTGTGAGGCAGGCTGGATGGACTTTGGCCCCCACCTCACCTTTAGACAGGTTGTACAGACAGGCAGTGGCCGCCATCTGTACCCCCAGCTGTTTAGGGTGGCTCTTCATGGCTGGCAGTACCAACTATGATATAAATAGAAATAATGAAACAACAATAGTAAAGGTATCTGAACAAATAAACATATACTGTGATTTCATCATTTTTTCATTGAACACAAATTTTTGTTGTATTTTTGGTTAGCCAGACCAGCATATTAGATGATCATTGAGTACATAATTTAATATTGACAGAATAGGATGAGGTAGCTGTTCAGAATTTATATATCACAGAAATTGTATTTTGGACAAAACCCTCAAATATAACATGTATAGCAGTCACAAAAATATTAATGAAACCACAGTTTGCAGTGCATCAAAGGTCTGTACATGGTATTTTTTAGTACCCTCAGAATTATTTTCCTTTCCATGAAAGGCAACATATGACATGCATATATTACATCTTATGCAATATTCTTATAAAATGTGATAAAGAAATTAACCTTAATAATATCCTCTCTGGGTTTCAGCATGACCTGTGTCAGACGAAACAAAGTGTACAGTGACTTCTGAACATACACACAGCGACTAACATAACGTCTCAATGCCTCCATGATCTGTCTCTCATCTGCCTCTCCAGTTACCTGTTTGTCAAATTGTGAAAATTGTACCATAAAAATCCATGCATATTGTACATTTGTGAAATTGTTACATTAGAAGTTTAAATCTAAAGTTTAATCTTATCTATAACTATCTAAATAGTTATAGATAAGTTTAAACTTTAGATTTAAACTTCTAATGTAACAAAATCAATGCACATATGTGTATTTGATTTCTAGTTTTTTTCAGAACACAATACTAAATAGTCTCTTACTGTTATAGTCCCCTTGAAGTCTGGACTCTGGTCATTGGTGAACATTGAATATTCACAGTACTCTGTCAAAGCAAGCCCTAGGAAGTTCAGCTTACTGTGGCAATTTACATATTCCCTAAAAGTGAAGGTCACTTTAAGTATTATGTAAAATACTGGTCTAACATATTTGTTTATGTTACATTTGAATCTCTCTGCAAGATGCATTGTATGAAAATAAAAAGAAAAAGAAAAAAAGATCTGTTTGTGAAACACTGATGCCCCCGTATGGCAGCTTATGGCACAAGTTAAAAGTTACTCAAACTCCAAGGTCAAAAGATGAAAAATGTTGTTACCCAAAGAAAGGACTTGTGTCAATGGATATAAGACCGTGGAACACTGACTGGCAAAATTGGAAATATGCAGCTTACGACATTTCCACCTGATACAGTCAAAATGCTTAATGATAGACAAAGAAATGGGCGGGTACAATTTGGCACGGATGTCCGAGAAAACATTGGATTGAAATTCTAATTTGAAAATCATTTTCAATCCACCTCAGCTACGCTAGAATCACGATGTAACTGATTGACCCAAAAGACAAATAATTTCAATTTTGGAATAGTTTGAAATATATATAAATCAAAATTTCTGTTCAGTGTTTTAAAAGAAATTTGAAGGGGCAAATATTTGATTTCTGTTAGGTATGTGCATGCATGTGGTGGTGGTGGGGGGGGGGGGGGGGGAGGGAGGCTGAACAATCTTGAAAATAAAAAAAGAAAGGTTTTTTTTTTAAAGTTTGGACAACCCCTCCATGTTTTTGATTGTCAAACATTTTTCAGTGAAGACAAAACTAAAGAAAATAGTTCTTTTCATCCTAGAAGTAAATATATTTTGTCATGATCTGACTTGACAATTTTTGACACCCCCCCCCCCCTCCAATCAAATAGCCGAAAATAATCTCTGTCTTCTATGACTTTTACGTGTCCTTAAAATTATAGGCTAAAAACTCATATAAATATAAATTTCAAACGACATGTACTTGGGAATTGAAATTATTTGTCTTTTGAATCATACATTCACACTTTGCGTTTGGAAACAGCTCAGGTGGATTGAAAATGAATTTCAATCTAGAGATTCAATCCAATGTTTTCTCGGACGTCTGTGTCGAATTATACCCGCCCATTTCATTGTCTATCATTAAATGTTTTGACTGTAACAGATGGAAATGACGTAAGCTGCATATTTCCAATTTTGCCAGTTAATGTTCCGCAGTCTTACCTGTTAAATATGAAAGCCCAAGCACCAACCATTCAAAAGTTATGGTCAAGGTTAATGTTTTCTAAAGGTGGGTCAAACTCCAAGGTCAAGGTCAAAGGGTAAAAATTAATGGTATGTAGGTAAAGAAGTTGTCATAAGAAATACACATGCAAAATATAAAAGCACTAGCACTATTCAAAAGTTATGGCAAAGGTTAAAGTTTTTTCAAAAGTATGCCAAACTCCAAGGCCAAGGTGAAAAGGTCAAAATTGTTGGTATCCAAAGGAAGGTCTTGTCACAAGGAATCTACCGGTACCTGTGAAATTTGAAAGCCCTAGTACTAACTGTTCAAAAGTTATGGTCAAGGTTAAAGATTTTTTTAAAAGTGGGTAAAACTCTAAGATCAAGGTCAAAATGTCAAAATATTTACACCCATGTAAAGGTCTTGTCAAGATGAATACACATTTGAAATATGAAAGACCTTGCACCAACTGTTCAAATGTTATGGCCAAGGTTAGAGTTGGGTAAATTTTTGCAAAAATGGGTCAAACTCCATGGTCAAGGTCAAGAGGTCAAATATGTTGCTACCAAAAAGAAGGTCTTGTCACAAGGAATACACATTTAAAATATGAAAGCCATAGCTCTGACCAATCAAAAGTTATGGGCAAGGTTTAAGTTTTTGCTGACAGACAGATGGATGGACAGGACAAAAACTATATACCCCCAAATCTTTGATTACGGGGGCATAAAAAAAAAGAAAAAGCGGCCCACAGACCATGGCATTCACAATAGTAACCTTATCCCTGCTGTTCTTAAGATTTTTAAAACATTTTTTTACCCTTTTCTTCACATGAAGTGGCACCAATCAAACTCTAAGGGATCTCTATATATCTACATACCATAAGGATGCATCAATATGACTAACATAACTTTTGATTGTTGATATGGAGAAGGAAATGTTTTCCTGTATACATGCTTGATGTAAAATATGGAGTCTATAATTTGAAAAGAAAGAAAAAAAAAGAATCGACACAATTTGAGAATGTTTGCAAATAAATATTCTTTTGTGTCCTTGAGAAGATTTTTAAAGATTTTTTGCTATAGATATTCGTATAAAATGTTTTCCCCTTTTCTGGCCCCACCTAAGGCCCCTAGGCATTGGTTCAAAACAATCTGAATCTGCATTATCAGAGGATGCTTGCATATTAGTGTCACTAATTATGGTCCTGCTGTTCTTGAGAAGATTTTTAAAGATTTTTTCCTATATATTCCCATGTATAAAACTCTGATCCCCTTCTGTTGCCCCACCCTACCCCCTATATACTTAGTATTCTCGTATAAATTGTGGTCACCAGGGGCCATGATTTTGACAATTTAGAATCTACACTTTGTAAGAAGATAACATATATAAAATTTCATCTTTTCTGTCCCAGTGGTATTTAGAATCTACACTTTGTCAGGACTCAAGAAGCTTTCATATTATAAGTTTATTATTTTCTTACCCAGTGATTCTTGAGAAGAAGAAGAATTTTTAATAACTTAATACTATGTTTGCCCTTTCTTGATTATCTCCCCATTGAAAGGGGGGCTTGGTCCTTCATTCGAAGAACACTGAATCCCCTTTATCCAAGTATGCTTTGTGCCAACTTTGGTAAAAATTGGCCCTATGCTTCTTGCAAAGAAGTTGAAAAAGTGTAAAGTTTATATGGATGGACAGACAGCTACATGTAAATAGGTGGACAGATGCTTGACAATGGGTGATCAGAAAAGTTCATTTGAGCTTTTACCTCAGGTGAGCTAAAAATGTCAATTTTAATAAATAAAAAAAGAATAAATGTAAAAATACCTGAGAACATCTTCATTGGCACCATCTTTGCCTGAAATATCCAAGGAAGTTAGATTTGGAAGGCATCGAGGTCGTAGAAGGAGGTTGATGATGGCAAATTTGCCGGAATTGACATTGACAAAAGGTTGCATTGATGAATCCTCTGAAACATCCAAATGTACCAATTTAGTCAATTCACACAAGACTGGAACTACGTCGTCCTGGTTGGAGGCCACTAGATTGTACATTGATAGAGATTTGAGGCGGTCCTTGCACTTCTTCAGAGGTGATATATCTAGTATTTGAGTACTGGAGATGTCCAGATTCACCAGACAAGGAAGATCCTCCACAATGATTTCCAGACCATGTTTATTGAACTCTGTGTTGCTGACATTCAAACTCTGAAGATTATGAAGTTTTGATAGAGACACCACAACACAGAATTTTGTACTGTTTACAAATGTACTGTTATTAACATTTAAAGATCTCAGATTGGACAGAGTCCATTCTCCGAGGCATCCTATCACGTCGTTCACTGTGGCAGTACGCAGTCCAATGATTTCCAGTTCTGAAATTTTATGCATTTTTAAAATCCTCAATCCTTTTGCTGAAAGCTGTGCATCTCTTATGGATACCCTTTTCAAGTTTGTTACATTGGGATCAAAAAGACTGAGTGTCTCATCCGTGAGTTTTCCCTTTTCGCAAAGTGTCTGCAAGAGTTGCTCAGAAAGCTCTCCATGGAAGAAGATATCTGGATCTTTGAAGGAAAGCTTTTTGATTGTTTGATTTTCTGTGGCTGACGCATAGCACAGATCCTGCAAGTGGTCACTGATGAAGTCGATGCAGCAATCCTGCAGGCTGACAGGCATATCATACATTTTGGCTGGCTTTATGTACAGATTCCTGAATGACCCATTCGCTGTTGCCTTGTAGAAGCTAGGAAAATGAAACATTTCAATCAATCTTTAAGTTTTTACTATAAATCTTCTTGTTAAAAACACAAAACGTATTTGTATTGAAGTTGAAAACGTGAAGAAATTAAAACATTCTTCTCTAGTAAAAATCTATTTAGTCTTATTCATTAGCACTTCAAATTATGTAAGCCTAGACACCAATAAATACCACTGGTGTGCCCTAGAACAGGTGAGAATTACCATAGTAACAACTTCCCTTGATAAATGCCTTGATGTAGTTTAGTTCATAATACATTACTAATCGACAGTCCTCTAGACAAATACTAGTAGCTTATCCTTTGAACCTTCAAGCTAATCTGAACCCCGGGCTCTTAACTCTCATATTCTTGATTGTCATAAAATGTGCTTTTTAATGAAAAACAGTAATGGTAAGAAAAGTGTGGAAAAAATACAGTTGAACTTTGGTATCTTGAAAACTAATATCTCGAATACCATGGATATGTCGAAATGATTTATAAGTCCCAACCGCTTATTTCTTCAGTATTTAACCCTGGATATCTCGAATCCTGGGATATCTTTAAGTATTTTCTTAGTCACATCCAGTTCGAGGTAACCAGGTTTGACTGTACATATCAATAAGTTCTATCCCTACCCTCTTCTCACAACATTTCATAAAAAAATATGACAAAAATCAAATAAGCAAATAGCCATCATGACCTAAGTATTTTGTAACTTAGGAAAATAATATAACAGAATTATACATAAGTAAATACCACACTAGTATCAAAAACATACAACCTGGATACCTTTTCAAAAAAATTAATTTGTTGATCAATTTTTCATAGGAAAATGTATATTAAAATTGATTTTTTTTAATTCCCATTCTCTAAATTCCCATTCTCTAAAAAAAAAAAAAACATTTGAGATTCTGTATTTTCCCTACTGATATAAATAAATATTATTTATAATCAAATAATAATGAAAATTGCTTGGGTAGGTACATGGTCTGCTTAAAGGCAGAGATTTTTTACCGGGTGGTAAATTCCAGGTGAGGGAGGGGCTTATTTTGTACAGGTGTGAATGCTTTGAGGGCTAGCAGTCTGTCTCCAAATCCAGATTTAATACACAGTAGAATACCCAAGGAGTCAAACTTTACCTGTGTTGGGATTTTGAGATGATTTTAAATTAGAAATAAAAAGTTTTAGATAAAGTTTAATCTCAATAATTTTTATTAATTTGTAATTGAATGCTCACCCATTAAAAAAAAATTATTCAAAGTATTTGTTGAGCTTTGAAAAAAAGTTATACCTAATTTTGATATAATTATATTATCATAATGAATATCATAATTATTTCAAATACTAGAGGTGTGTGTATATATAAAAATTCCATAGTAATACAGCTTCCCTATTGTTTATACCATGTGTGGTAAATATCAAAGGACCAAAAGTTAATTTGAAGGTCACGACGAGTGCCGAACAAGGTGTACATGGTATACACAGGGGCTAGTAAGTAAATGTCAATCAAGTTCTAGCACCCAATGATGTACCTTAATATACTTGATTGACAGGGGTACACAGACCAGGTATTTTTGAAGGCGGTGCTTAAAATCTCTGCCTTTAAATCAGATCCTCAATGCTCCTTTTTTAAAGATATGTCACTTACTCATAAGCGACATATCGTTAAAAAAGGAGCATTGAGGATCTGATTCCCCTAAGTGAAATATCGTTAAAAAGGAGCATCGAGGATTTAATTTTAATTAGACTGGGTAGATACACAGTACTTTGTGAATTCAGTGATATTTCTGTCAGCATTTTCTGATACTAATAGCTGCTTGTTTTCAGACCAATGGAAAACCTTAAAGTGCAAAGCAATTATCCATTTTCCCAAACATATACTTGTTAACACTTTTTCATATTTAGGCCACATTGCTATTTTTACTTCCTCTTTGAATTAAACCCTCATTTGCAAGTGTCTCAAGTTGCTCTGGCCAAAATATCATAATTGTTTATTTTTGAATAACAACTTCCTATGTTTCTCTATTTCTAAATATTAATTATAAAACCCCAAGAAGAATTTAAAAAGTTTCCATCCAGTGACCTTAACCTTATTAATTATAAAACCCAAAAAAAATTACAAAAGTTTTCTTCCAGTGACCTTAACCTCATCCAGATGACCTTTAATTATGTTTTCCAATTCTCATTCTAGGCTTTATCAATGCTGTTTTAACTACCAGTAAATGGTACCTAAATTTCCCCTTACCATTTACCAATATTTCTGTTTGACTAGGTGGCAGAGGTAGCCCTAACCCTAGCCTTTAGTCAAACCTTAACACCTTAACTCTACCCCTAACTCTAGTCCTAACCCTAGCATTTTCATCCTTGTTTAATGCTAATCCTAGACTAACACCAATCCTAAAGCTAACCCTAATCTTTATGCAAGACTTTGCCCTAACCTTAACACTTTCAGTATAACTCTAACTCCAGACCCAACTCTAAAATCTAACCCTTACCCTAACTCTTACCCTAGCTTTTGCTTTTACCCTTACACCTTCACGCCATAATAACTAAAGCGTATGGCAAAAACGAGATGACTTCAGATTTTCCATCGTTAACTTTCCTTATTTGTTGAAGAAATGGATATAATTTTTGAAAATTCCTGAGGACATTTTGAAAAATGTCCAAATTCCCCTTTAAGTTATGGAAAATATCCTGATTAAACGTATATGTAACACTTAAAATATATCTATTTGTGCTAATTCTTGAAAAGAACCCCTAGATATGCTCTTAAAATGCAAATTCTTGCAATATTTATTTGAAAATTTCCAGAGGGACATGCCCCCAGACTCCAATGTTATATTAAGAGGTCCAGCACTGATGTCAACACCCCCCCCCCCCCATTATGAGAAAAGGGTAGTCAAACAAAATATCTAGATAAATCCCTGTCATTAAGTCAAAGTAAGCTAATGGTGGATGAATAAGGTGATTCATACATAACTATCAGTCTTTTATTTCTGTTCATGGGGGTTTGGGATATAATTACATGCTGTATACTGAGTCTGAACTCTGTATTTCCTGAAATATCCAACATAAGAAGTGCTTCTCAAATATTGACGTATAAACTAAAAGTATGTCCTGGACTATTTACAGTTTTAAAAACCTTATTCTTCTTAAAAAGTCATTTGAAAGTCATACTCTATTGCATCACTTCTACTGGGATTTCCTCCGATTAGATCCCCCCCCCCCCCATATTAATCTATGGTATGCACTATAATATTTTGTTTTTAACTTTTTATTATATATTAATATTATTATTTATTATTAATTAAGTTTGTTTATTAATTCTAATACTATTGATTGATGCTCTGATTTGTCAATGTTGACAGATCTATAAAGATACATATCCAATGCACAATTAGTCTAAGACTCTTTGTTATGTGAACAAAATCACTATACAACTGTTACAGTTATGTTCCATATTAATTAAGTCTAATAATATTCATAATACACAATAACACAAAAAATTGTGTAAATATTATCAATTTTTGTAAATTGGTCTATAGATAAGTCATGTCTTTAAGAATTCATCTCGATTTGGATCTACATGTACTTAATTACAGATGCAACAAAGTAACTTTTATTTTTCCTTTAAGGATATCCAATCCTCAGCCAGGAAGGATAACTCTTAAAGGATGACTGCACTTAACGCCTGTTTTTGGGTCTTTTTCGGTTGCCTCTGTTGCTTTTATATCTAAACCTTATTTCACATTTGTATGTTTATGAAAGAATCCTGTCAATTTGGAAGTTGGAACCAAGTTTAAATCTTAAAATGATTTTAGACTGTGATACAATAAAATGATTCATGACAATATTTTTTGTCCTTACTGCTTTCCAAATATAGTAAATTTACACTTACCTGCCCTTGATTGAACATTAGATATGCATGAGAGGTGGAGCTAACATTGTAAGAATGGGTCTAAAATTAGACTTGATAAATAACAATGACATGTTTGGAAAAACTTCTGACAAAGGTTTCAGAATGAAATTAACAATATGAGCACGTCAATTTTATTAAAGGTCATAGGAGACAATTACCTGAACATATTGGGTTACATACGGGAATGAGTTCATCTGAGCTGGTAAGATAAGACTGGAATTGTTTTTTTGGATTTTTTACGCAAGATAGCTACAGCACAGTCGATGAAAATTACTCAGTCGTGAAAATTCATTTTGACTAACGTTGCTTATCTCCCTTAGCAAATGATGTCAGTAAGGCCCAGTCGCTGTTCAAAGCTATGCAATGTTTACAAACTGTCATATCATTTTGCAGCTTAATCTTAAAGAATATCATAATCATGGCAAAAACCTTGTATAAATATACGATCTTCAAACAGGCTAGTATTCCTTTTTAAAAATTCTATTGCATATTTGCAAGATGTTTGCATTTTTATCAGTCAAAATGTGATCATTTTCATCGTTTGACACTTCGATCTATTGAGAGAAAGCGATCGGAAGAGAGAAAGAAGGAAGAGGGAGAGTGAGAATGAATTCAGTTTTCATAACCAGGGCAGTAACTGTTGTTTTAATGAAATCATTTATTTACAACGTAGTTTTACTTTCACACAGAGTCCAACACTGTCAGTATGACACTTTTCTTGACAAACGATACGTATCACATGGCTTTAAAAAAAAACAAGAAAAAAAAATTCTTGTGTATTGTTTTATACAATTTAATCAATTCTTATCATTTGACACTGACTTTATATCTTACTCATCTACAGCATCACCGCCAATACCCATGGCCGTAGGAACTGGGGGGGGGGGGGGGGCGTGCCCCCCAATAATTTTTCCGATATATAGAAAACTATAGAAAATATAGCTACTATATGCTTGTGCCCCCTCAATAATAACGTCTGATGACCTTCTTTTTTTTTTTTTTTTTTTTGCTCGTCGGGAAATTTTTGGTTGTGCCCCCTCAACTGTCAATTTGCTTCCTAAGGGCCTGCTACTTACCGAGTATTTCAAAAATCGATATTGTCGAACCAAACCGTGACTGCACAAAGTATCGGCATCGTAACAATCTTGTTTGCTCTGGGCTCAACATTTCTTTATATATAATACGATCATGTCATAAACTCGGGATTCTATTGCTATATCGTTTTTACAGCAGTATGTGTGTTTCGGATCGGGGAATAAGAAACTTCAAAGACGCTGACATTTTCAGTGGTTCGCGCTTATCATGGACTTCAATACCACTGGCCCCCGTATTTATTTTGGGTTCACGTTAGGGATATTTCCCACATACGTGTCATATATCTTTCTTTAACAGAATATTATAGGCTTAATCAAAATTTTTATTCTAAGCAGAAAAGGTCACTTTTAATAAATTGCTCTATTCTATGTTGCATTATGCGATTTTTCTTGGAATAAAAAACGACTTAATAACTTTTTTGAATGACGATGAAATCCTCTTGGTATATCGTATATGTGTATTAAACAGGGAAATATTTTTTTTTGTTTCTAAAGGTTTGATGTAGAGTAAGTAATCGAAGTTGTAGCTAAATTTAAGTGTAATTTTATATAGGATATTCATCAGGATCATCCTCTGATAAAAAGCTCCAGTTTTGAGTTGCTGTGCCTTATTAACGACTCGCTCAAATTGAATTGACTGAACTACGAAATCAGATAACTCACCTGAAAACATAGACACATTTAAATTTTATAAAAATAGCTTAAATTAACCAGATAAAACATGGTAGAAATACATTAGTCTAATGCTCTGTTTACATCAGTGGGCTCTTGTGACGTCATAAATCCACAAATTCAAGAACGATAAGCGGGTAAGAAAAGTAACAAGTGGAAAAGTTTTCACCTTTATTTTTCAGTAGAACAAAGGCCAAAAAATATTACTACTTGTAATTTAACATTCTTACATATATAGCTTGTTTAAAAAGTGAAATCCTTGTGTTAAAAATCGTTTCCTATGACCTTTAAAGCAGATTTTATATCAATGCCAGATGACTTAACGTGTTCGAACACAACGTCCCAGTTAGCACAAAGCATGCTACCTTACAAGTCACGTGACGGACTTTAGTATTCATAAAGTTACCTGAGGTAAGAAATCACGTGGTGAATTATAATATTCAACATGTCACAATCCTTGGTTACAACACAGCGAACGTAAGAAGAAGCAGTTTTTTTCTCTTTTTAACCATGAGCGCATGTTTGTCTATTAATCTCCTTTTGACACATTATTATTTATGCAAATATACAACTACTGTTAAACGTAGAACAATAGACAAACATGCGCTGACTATGTATAAAGTCAGTAAAAAAGTGGGCATCCTCATTATCGAATGGAGATTCAAGAAATTGTGATGACCCCTGCCTTTGAAAAGAGATTCGAACTTCGTAAATACACACTTTCATTAAACATAATTACATAAAGTTGTAGATTGGATGTTGACCATTCTTGCAATGAAAAGAAAAATGCTTGTTTTGAAAGTTTATTTTGTCGCAAATTTCGCATGTACTTAAGTGCAGTCATCCTTTATTATTTTATTTAAAAAGTCTCAAAATGAAGCTTGAAATTGAGATCTTTTCGTGCAACAATTTTCATTTTATGCATCTTAATATGATTCAAGGTTCTTTGAAGTCTTAGAAATGGTTTGTAAAAAGTTGACATTTGTAATTTTCATTTTATGCATCTTAATATGATTCAAGGTTCTTTGAAGTCTTAGAAATGGTTTTGTAAAAAGTTGACATTTGTACCCCATAAAAGAAAAAAAATAATTCATTTTTAGAGAAAATGAATTTCCTTTAGTCTAGCATTAGATATGACTGCTTATTAGCATGGTATGAAATTAGATGTGATATGTGATGTCTAGAAATGATAGCACAGGCTTTTCACACTATGTATTATATGACAATTGAAGTAAAAAGAGGAACTAAAATACTCTATAAACAGAAAAAAGATGCAATTTTCTCCAAATGCCTGGATACCTATATTTTTCTATCCTAAATTATATTTGTTGATCAATTTTCAATTAGAAAATGTAGAGCTGGTGTTTTTATTCCCATTTCTTGAAAATATATTTGAGATTTGATAATTTTTCCTATATAATATGATTAACTATAATGATGAACGTTGAATAAATTCCATGGGTAAATTCACGTTACTTTGTGAAATCAGAGACACTTTTTATGAGCATTTTCAATTACTTAAAAGCTGATTTTCAGAAGCTGAGGATCGGACTACCTTAAGAGTATTGTCTTTACATAAATTTAAGTTCTTTTTTTTTTATTATTATTATTCTTTGCTTGTTTGTGTATATAATAAGCTTTCAAACATTTGCAGCAGTTTTACAGATATTTCTTGAATTTAAAAATTCATCAACCTGGCATCATGTCCTGATATATCAGTTGGTGGCATTTAGAAGGCAAAATAATCACTTAAGCATGTTCTTGGCATGAAAATGGACAAGCAGTAAGAAGGCAATGAGTCAAATGTTTAAAATACAAACACAGAGTAAAAACTTTTAGCATTTTAAGTTAGAAATACACATTCTTAATCATATAATGGCAGACCAGCATAATTAATGCAAATTTTATAGTGTTGGTGAAAATGAAAGTAGCCTGATTCACTGGTTGGTGTTTACTTTCTAATATTTATGTGCTTCTGGCTAGAAACAAATTCTTTGACAATATCAGTTTTTCATAAATTCCTACAAAGTATACGATAGCATAAAGATTATTCAAACATTATTTCCTGTATCTTGCAGGGCTTTAAAGAAGATTAGAATCAGGCGGTACTTTTACAAAAATAGGAGGTACCTTGTGGAAGCAATTTTAATTAAATAAATATGTTTTAAAATTTTTCTTTATCATATATATTTTGGCCAGTACAGTCATGATTTCAGTGGGATAAAAGTACTGGGTACTGGCAGATTTTGAAAGGCCAAAGGTACAGGGTAACTACTGTGTCTTTCAGCAATTTTCTTGAAATGTTAGCTTTGAAAATGCTTAAGAAAATAAGCACTATATAATAATTAATAAAGTCAAGTGATTTTTGATTTTTCTGTTATTGCTTTGATGTTGTTGTTGGTTTTTTTCTCTCATCGAAGTTTAAGAAAGTTGTATACTGAAGCCTGTATACTGAAAATTGTATATGATTGAAATAATTCAATTCCTATAAAAGTGACCAAAAATTAGTAATATTGAGACAGTTTCCAACTGCTTTATTATGATTGATATTCCAGCATATTAAATTGTTCGTAGAAATTGTATAGCTAATTGTTGATTACTTGATTTACTTCTTGATTTGCCATTAATTTTGATAGCTGGTTATGGATACAGAACTTGAGTTGTACATTGTAAAAGTATAATAATTCAGTAGCTTAAACATAAAAAGTTAGCATTTATCCTCTGCTTATAGATAATTATAAACTAAATAAACAACTTTTCAACAAATTTATAAAACTTGGATCAACAGATAAATTGAGTTACGAGTACACAGATGTTCTCAACATTTAGTTGGTTTCATGGCGACTTTTGAGTCCCACCCAAATAAGAAATATCAATTCATGGGAATATATGTTACTTGTAATTAGAGTAAAACTTGATTTGGTAGTAAACTTACCTTCAAAACAAGAAATTCAACAGGTTTTCATAAGAATGAGAATCTTCTATCTAAGATTATCTCAACCGGAAGTATGGAATTGACATTCCTTTGAACAAATCGTTCGAGTTTATTTCGCGGAGGCTAAACAGAATGTCTGGAAAAACAAAATCTGCGAATAACTAGGATTTTGAAAAAAAAAAAAATCCTAAATCAAAAAACAATCAAAGAAAACAAAACAAAGAAAACAAACAAAGACAAACAAAACCAACACAACAAAAAAAAAACCAAAAAACAAACAAACAAACCAAAAAAAAACAAACAAACAAACAAAAAAAAACAAAAAAGAAAAACAAAAAACACAACCAATCTCCCGTCCTCAGACCCACAGGCACTTCACGAATGGTTTGTGTAACATCCCCCCCCCCACCCGCTTCCTTCTGCCGGAGATTTTTTGTTAGACACGTTAACTTAGCAAATATACATGAATTCTTGGTTATTATACCAGTACTTCGATATTTGATATCATTTTCCGTTTTTCTTAATTTCTAGATATTTCACCTTTGCAGTGTATAAAAATACAAAAATCTTGTATACACACAGTGTGTCCCCTTTTCGAGGGAGATTTTCAACGTTTACACAGCATAACCAATGAAATTAATGCAAGAGGCAGCTCAGAGAGACGTTGTTTTACTAGCGCCTTATTACAAAAGCTTAAAAAAAGAGGAAGGATATGTTTCCTTCATTTAATCTATGCATATGCCTATGGGCGTAGGACCCAGAGAGAGGGGACTTAGCTCTCCCCTTCACCCAGACATTTAAATTTTTTTACAAAGTTTCAAATTTAATCAATCAAAATCACACTTTCATTAATTACAACGCCATTTGTTATTCTAATTATAAGAGCACTCCACTTCAGTGCTAGAGGAAGCAGATAGTATCACGTAATAAATAAATATATATATATATATATATATATATATATATATATATATATATATATATATATATATATATATATATATATATATATATATATATATATATATATATATATATATATATATATAAATAATAACATACTGACGGATTCAGAGGGGGCGAGGGGCACGCCCCTCCCCATAAAATTTCCCAAATTAACATGTATATTTAGAGCTACTTATTTATATAAAAAGGGGGGTGTAAAACTATCAAGATATTTTTATAAAATGCAGGCGTTTCTGAGTTTATTTGCAAAATTTATTGATTTATGAGTATAAATTTATTATATTTGATATAATATTTTGGGAGAAATGGTTTAATACCCTAACCGGGGATTTTCACAATGCACACCTGGCTAATTCTGGAGATATTTGACTACTGAAGTAGTCATGCTCCTTGTCTCAGATTTTTTTTTATAGATCTAATTTTTGAAAATGAAGATAAATGATTTTATCAATACATGTATATATATATGGCGATCGTAGGCCAGCAAGAATATATATATATATATATATATATATATATATATATATATATATATATATATATATATATATATATATATATATATATATATATATATATATATATATATATATATATATATATTGCCGCGTAACCGTGCAATGTTAAATCAGGCCCGTAGGAAGCAATTTCACAATTTCATTGGGGGGGGGGGGGAGGGGGGCACAGCCATACATTTTCAGTTGGAGGGGCACTATCAACTACGAAAAATTCTTTGACAAAAAAAGGTCATCAGACGTTTTTATTGAGGGGGCACAAGCATATAGTAACTATGTTTTCTATATTAATCTATATATCGGCAAAATTATTGGGGGGGGGGGGGGCATGGCCCCCGTGCCCCCCCCCCCCGGTTCCTACGGTCATGTAAATAATAACATAAAGTAAGGAAATAAATTGTTTTTACGATTTGACAAAGCACCTCAGTTGTAAATACGATTTCAAATTAAATTTCTGAGTGTGTTACATCTTATTTGATACTTTTTTCGAAGGGACTTCAAATCTATCAGGACCACGATTTGATTTTGAGCGGGGGGGGGGGGTGCAATTTTGGCAATAAATAAAGAATCTGTCCTTTAAGATGTTGAAATAAATTATATGTCCTCACTTGGGTAGGACATAAATAATTTGACCCTGAGTGATAGATTCAACACCCCCCTTCCCTTATAAAACATGCACACGTGCACGAATGCACATGATCGATCTGCGGTTCTTTTGTGTATCCCTTTATTTATATGGTGTGGTTTTGTAGTAATTTAAAATAAATGTACGTGTATAAATATTTGAATTCTTTTTGATATAAATACTGAAATAATCAAATATTATAAATGTAAGCCTAATACCGACTGAAGGCAATTATTTCAGTAGAAATCACACAGATATACATTTACGTAAACAGCCCAAGTGGAGTTGATTCGTGTATTTATATGTAAAAATTTTTTTTACATAACAGAAAAATGCATTTTCTGAACGAAAAATCAGAGTGTTTCGGATGTATTAATAGTACATGTGATAAGTCCCGCCTCGTCAGGGGTGCACCTTGTGCATAAATCAATCAGTCTCTTTGAACTTCATTTGAGTTTAATTTGGATCTAATGATCAGATCACCTATGTTCTTCTGTTTACTGTATGCAGCCATAGGAGGTGTTGCATGTGAATAAGTCTTTGCATACTTCGCCATGTTGTATGTAATCCCAATATTTCATAAGTCGCTTCCTCAAACCCTTTCTCCATTTATTAAACTTGGTGACCAAAACGTTCGGTACAGGTTTTTCATAATTTCTCTCCTATTTTTTATTTCCAGAAAATTTCTTGCATAAAAGGTTCAATTTCTGATTGTAACAAATTTTTTTAAAAAGATTTCAAAACAAAAGGAGGTTATAAACAATCAGAAATCGAACCTATTTCCGAGTAACGCGTATTACATTTCATTTCTAAAGTTTTTATTATATAATATGGTGCAAAAGTAGGGGGTCAGATTTCTATTGGGACCATTTTTCAACGGATTATTTATTGTCGAAAAATGATCCTACTTGTCACAGAATATTGACCCGGGGTCAGTTTTCTACGTAGACATTTGACTCTCGGCCGGTCAATATTCTACGTGGGTCACTTTTCGTCGTTACACAGGTAAAAGAGTATGCTCAACAAGTCGGACTATACGGGCAGATGCTCAAATAGCTTTCAAATCGCTATGTTTAGGAGGATATGGGACGTATATGCAGTTGAAATTGTTATTGCATGTTGAAAAGTGCTGTAGAGGAAAATTTCAAAAAGGAAATTATTTAGTAATTAACAATTTTTACGGAGCGGATAAAATGCTAAAAATTTGAAAAAAAAACTGTTTTACTGAGGTGTAATCTACCCAAATACAACAATCCTTTGACAATAAATATTTACCAAAAAAAAAAATCTGTTGCTGTTTAAGATATTGCAGTTTTGGTTGAGCTACTCCTCTTCATACCAGCGACAATAGCTACCAGCCAAAGAATGTTTAGCATGTTGCATCGCATTCATGAAACCCTATCCCAGTCCTACGACGCGCTTACCGAAAGGAGACTTTGTGTGTGGAGGTCAAGATGGTTCTGGATTTAAGAGGACTCTTCTGTAATTTCAAATAAATTCAACAGATCTCCCCAAATACGTGAAATATCTACACTGTAGTTTCACATTACCGTTAGAATATGACTTTAGTTCATAAATGAACTAATTTATGATTATGTCTACATTACATGCAGTGTCGGTAATATTTCTATCAATTTTCGGTGATAGGAATAACACTTGCAAGGATCGGATGTGAACAGCTGTTGGAGTTTAGGAGTCTTTGTAACTGCAGATCTGTAGCTGGCTGGTCTGGAAAAAAATTGGGATGGACGACCAGAGGCTAGATTTCTGCAGCTAGGGTCTTTGTGGTGTCTCTAATGAGCTATCCTTTTTGGCCATTTGTGCGAATTATCACGTGCCTTCATGTCGGTTATTAACTCATAAGCCAAAAAAAAGAAAACATTTATTCTTTGATGATACTTGTACTGGTTAAATTTTACTTGTTAATTTCTAGACAGTTATGCCGATATGATGAACACAAATAAGACGATAAGGAAGGAATCGTCTATCACAGAATATATATATACAGGTATAGCTTATAAACAATATCACAGTTCCTTATACAGAAAAAAATATTCTTTGTCTTTTTAAAGATTATCTGTAATCACAAGGCAGTTCAATTTAGTGCAACAGATTCCACTGTGATGGCATCGCTCAAGAAACAAAAAGGCGACTAAACAGATGATTGGGAAAATACAAACACCAGCTAAATCATAGGACCAACCAGTTTTCCCGCCCTCGGTTTCACTTGCTTTCTTTGATATTATAATCAAGACGATGACGATGCATATAACTGAAAGAAGAAAATAACAACAATTATAAAAATAAAGAAGAAAATATTACTATTACTTAGCATACAATTGTCAAAATCACAACTACAACGCCGTGTGTGAGAAAGTGTTGCAGAATTCTTTAAAAAAAAATATCTCAATTTGGTTTATTTTTTCATAATTATTGCTTATTAACAGGCCCCGATTCCCTCCCCTTTCCTTAACATTTCTGGATCCGTCCACTGAAAATAAGCGAAGTAAGAGTACGGAGTTTAATACAGTTAAACACGCCTAGTGACGAACAATTTTGCTTTGTTATAAACGTTTAACGATTCGTTATATACGTTTCTCTTCGCAATACATTTTTTAACCACAGGAAAATCCCTTCAATGTAAGCGTGAATTCATAAAAAGCATGTTCGCTTTAAGCGTGTTTTACTGTATATTTTGCAAACACAGTACTCAATTACATATATCGTATCCATGACAGTCTTTTTTTGGCTAGGATCTTACTGTAAAGTACAAGACTGTTAACGCCCACTTGGAATACGGTGTTCCACTTCCGTTTGTTTTAACATCAAAGCGTTCAACAATAAATACTTAGGAGTGTATATGGCTAAAGATACACATTTAAGTATATATTACATTTTTGAAGGCCATGCAAAATATGTATTTATAAGATCAGTTCAGTTTATGCTCTCAAAACCATGTAAATGGCACATGGGGTTACAGAAAACATATACACATATAAATGATATGATATGTATAATATAATGGGTCAAACAAGAAGTGTGAATCAAGTCTAGTTAGAGGGATAAGAGACCCAAGCTATTAATTTTAATAATAAATGTACACAGCTTTTTTTTCAACATCTTTTGAACACTCAATTTCACACAAACTTCATAATATTTAGCTTCGAACAAAATTTCTGGGTCAAGTATTTTCCCTTTAATATCCTAAATTATGTTTTAAAATATAGTGATTTTCATCTCCTTTATCTGTTTACTTTCGCATGAATTACAAATTCGTTCATTTCTCTGAGTACAATTCCATCTGCCTGTTTCGAATGGGAGATGGTGATTTATTGTTTTAAAGTTTACAAGAGTTTTCTTAAAGACAAGATATGGTAGAGGCCGAATTTTGCCCCTTATTTGATATAAAAATGAAAACGCAGTTAAAATTGTGATAGTTTGTAGTTTTAAAGATGTTTAAAACCAGCACAAATTTTTTATTTAAGGCGTACACGGAGGCCAAAAGAGGGTGACAAAGTAGGGCATTTTACTCAACTTCCTTAATTCTGATAGAATTTCCTCAAATTTGAGAAACTTTTCACTTCGGGAAACATAGGCACACGTTTGCCTAAGATTTTATACAAAAGATGCATCTGTACTAGTGCATGATTTATATAAATCTGGTAGAAAGACAAGCTTGTGCTCTGTTTTCTGAAACAAAATGTGCTTTAAAAATGAGAAAATTTGCATAAAAATTAGAAAATCTGGAAATTGATATATTTTTTGTGACCTCCGCCTGACTTACGTGTATACCGTAACTAGAAACAATGATCATTTTGTAACAGGGATGACAAAAGGTTTTTTTTAATGACGAACTATTGCCTCCTTCTTGGAGACACCCAAACAAGGGGCCAAAAAGGGATCTTAGCCTTTCTTGTCTTTTACATGATACCAGAGATAATTATTTTTCATACTCAAAATTGGTTTTGAAAATTCTGTAATTTACTCTTTTTGAGGATTCCTGAACTTCATAATTGCACTTCCGAATACATTGATCTTTCATCGTTTGTTTAACTGTTGCCTTTACTCATTTTACGTTATTAAAAGTTACTCGTACCATTCATTTGATAAACGGAAGCCGGTAGGTGCCAGGCCAGATAAAAAATATTTTATCTGGCGACCGCCCCCTAATTATCTGGCGACCACAAAATAAGTTTCGGGCGACCGCCACATAAATATCGGTTGACCGCCACATAAAATTTGTGGCCGCAAGATAAGTTTCTAGCGCCTGACAATGAAATATCTGGCGGCCGCCAGAGGAAATCTGGATTATCTATATACTCGTACGCTTGATTAACTGCTACAAAGTTATACTCTCGGTTTTATTTAATTCTAATGTAATCGAATTCCATGTATCTGTAGTTTGGCCTGAACTTATCGTTTAATGCTTAACGAATATGATTTTAAATACTATGACCGATATGTATGAAGAAATTATTGACTTTTTCCATTTGAATTCAACATATTGTGTATTCTTTAACTATGTTGTTGAAGGAAAATGTAGTTGACCGTTCATTCATGGTTCATTAGATTACATAATGTCTACACCGGAAACATTGGGCGGCGACTAGTTAATATGTGGCGGACGCCACATAATTAATTGGCGTCCGCCACATAAATAACTGGAGACCGACAGATATTCAGATATTCATGTGGCAGCCGCCAGATAAAATATTTTTCTCACCTGGCATCTACCGGCTTTCGTATATTTATTATATTGTAGCTATCAACAAATTAATTGTTTGTAAGAAACCATCACAAAGTTTAGTAAAACAAATTGCAGGCAATATTTCAGCAATTTTATTTATGACTCTTTTCACCGATGTTTACAAGCGATCTTTCTTGGGGCAAGGTTTTTCCTAAAAATGCAAGCTAACCAGATCAGAAATGGTCATTTGGAAAGGAACAATGCTGAAATTTTAAAAGAGGACCGCTTGTAATCCATGATTCCTCGAACTCTAAACCATACTTTTATATTTTGGTTTGAGGAAGGCACCACAATAGCGGGGATAAGAGTCGAAAGGATCTCGGATTAGACCGCTTGTACTAATCTTGCAGTGTAAAATGACATTCATTTTATTCTTTATAGAATTTCTATCCAAGAAAATTAAAATATTGTTATATACTAATTGAAAATGTTAGGTGCAATAAAAAATGTTAATTTTCTTTATCGTCCCCAGCTACATGTATCTGATTGGCTCAAGCTAGATCAGCGATAAACTATAAAACAAAATTCTGACTGGGTATTCTTATTTAAACCTTTAAGAAGTAAATTGAAAAGTGGAAACAAATCTTATGTAAAACAACAATAGTAATAGTCACAATAATCAGTATTAACTGAGTGTTTTTAAAAACAGATGCTTCAACTCATGTTTATAATTGTGATGTCATGATGAAAATGATGTTGTAATTCCTTATATGATATTGCTTGTTGTTTTACACATAACTGCACTATACTATTTCAACATGGATTTTAAAAGATATTTTTCATTAACTGGGGAAAAAAATTTAACCTTTTGGTTCTGTACAATCCCTCGACATATAAACTTCCTTTTTTAAGTAAAATATTAAAGTGAAATGGTCCATAGCTTTCCAATTACTTCGATGGAGACGAATAACTGGCAGACAGTAATTGCATTGTATCAATAAACAGTGATTATTATACTAGTGTATTCCGAGAGCAACACAAAATGCAATATATTGCAAATCGTAGAAATTTATCATGTTCATTATCAAAATGTTTATCACCACATCGTAACGAACCACAGATTAATGGAAATGTCGGGACAAATAATTTTGCTGTCATGCAATAAATATTCTTAAAAATTTTTGACATAAAAAATGGCCCATTATGCGTTGTTACATTTGCGTCGATCTCAGCACAAAATGTAATCGTGCAAAATTTAATAATCACAGTTTATAACATTTTGCATCGTAGCATAGCGCCAAACTTCAAATTGCTTTAAATTAGATGGCATAAAATAAATGTTATACATGTAAAAGTTATATCGCTGAATTCTTTTAGAAATACACTATAAAGTAAGTTTGAGCCAAATTTATATCCATTATGATTACCACATGAAATATCAGTATATAAAAGCTTTATAGGTATGATTATTTACCATTTATGCTAGTCTTATTCCAAAACAAATATGGCCCTGTTTACGATGGTACAGTTCAAGATAGACGAGTGTCACTAAACATGTACTTGCTATGATGCAAACCACGGCCAAATCAAGAGACCATCCGGTTTTTCCGGACTCCAATTTGGCCGCCTCTGTAGAGGTCATGACAGTGACAAGGGTCGTGAACATCACTGTAAAATACAGATGGATTTCCCTCAAAGGAAACAGTTCCGAATATTTGTGAGGACTGTTAAATATTAAGGTTTCGCGAAAAAGATGTTGCAATTATCCAGATAGAAGAAATGAACATCCACAAAGGCAAAAATGAAAACAAGACAAGTGATTATGTATTTATTCTCTGAATGATGTTCACATACGTAAGTCTCAAGCTTTACTATTGCACAGTTGTCTGTCTAATAACGTATCCTTAATTTTACATGTCTGTCTGCAAATAAGAAAATATTAAAACCGACTATCTTAAAGGCCCTATCTTAACATGTCTCCGGATAGAATTCGATATAACCATCTTGTTAGACCTCCCATTCCTTCTGTCCCCTTTTAGATGAACCTGGTTCTTCGGTATAATTTACAACATCTGTAGAAACAGTATCTATTGAGAAATCATCAGGAATGTGGTAATAGGATCCAGAATGCAGGGAAAGGCTGCCTGTGGAAGAACGATAGGAATAGGATAAGTCATCCCTAGGATGTGGATCAGGTAGATCATTAACAACGGAAAGTTCCGAATGGCGAATTTTTGAATTAACTTCAATTGTCACATCTGGTTTGAATTTTTCAATAATTTTTTGTTCACTTCTTCTTTCCAGGAATATTGCAACACCAATCGCACCTTCTAACATAATACATAAGAACGTCAACCCAAAAGACCAGCCTATTCGTCCTTGTGGGAGATCGTCCACTTCCGCTCCAATAATGATAAAATTAAGCAGCAAAAGAAAAACTACAAGCAAAACATTTTTTTTTTTAAAAAGTTCAACATAATATGGAATGTGGTGTCAGGCTAATATTAGAACATAATTATGATAGAGTATCTGAATAAACGTTTTTTTAAGGTTACGATGTGAGAAGAATCTCAACAGCTCCGGTAATATTCTTGTTTCCTCCATTATAATTAAATGCCAATTAAGTTTTTCAGGGAATCGTTTTTAAGAAACTAGCAATAAAACTAAGAAATGAACTACATACAAATAAAATATTATGTAGATTTTCTATACTTATGATTATTACCAATAACAGCTGAGAATCCTAGTATAGCACCAGCGAGCTTCTGTCTGTATTTCTCGACTTCGTTAATGCACAGGTATCCTATAAGCGCGAATTCCTGGAGGAAAATGGCTATCAGAGAACACGTCATGAGGATCCTTGCCCCGTGGTACCAGTCACTACCCCCGCCTTCAACAACGAGAAAAGATTGAAATTTTATGGAATTCTACTAATGACTTCGCAGGTGAGTTAAGGCTATCGCCATTTTCACAGTATTTGTGTTTTTTCATACTCACTTATGTTATAATGCACTCTGCATCAAAATATATGATTAAAACCTTAACAATTATGACAAAATTATGACAAAATGGTACCCCTAACAAGTTAAATGATATATAACACTCCCATGTTCTATACAATAAAAATATTAAAGATTTACTACCTAAAATACATGTATGGGATATATTTTGCGTTATGCTGTTGCAGCTGAAAAAATGGCTTTGTTTTCCAGTTTTTATTTCAGGAGATTTACAATAGAAACTCTTAGATATAGACGTCAAATCATTGTGAAATTATCCCTCTTTTATATGCAATTTACTGTATGTAAATCAACAAAATATTAGCAAAATAATGTTTAAATATGTGAAAATGCAGATACGTTATGAAATTTAATAAAATTCTACTGTTTGAACTTGCAGTTTAAAAAAATATATGTTAATGCATTACTCTTACTTTAGGTTCATTTTAAAATTAGAGTTAAATGATAAATGAAACAATAAAGAAAAGTTTGAGTGGATTCTTCGAAACTTTAGAAAATGACACATTTTCTTCTTACTGGCATAAAAATGTCCCAAAATTCTGTAGTGTCCGCAACATGTGCTTCTTCTGGAATGCATTATGAATTATATTTCTTTTATTTTACATGTAAGAGGCCAGTACAGCTACTAATCTATCTACCAAAAAATATCAGACTTTAGCTCAGTGTTGCTTGGAATTCTGGCAAATATATTGTGTTTTGTAGAGTCCGCAACGCTGTAGAGTCCGCAACAGCTTTTTAAATTCACAGTTTCTTCAAAGAAATGTAACATGATTACAATTGATCATCACTATAATTGTCCAAATATTCAATACGAATATGTAAGGTTACAAAACTTAGTGGAACTATAACTTCATACTTTGAATAACACCATTAACGACTTGTTTATACATAATATTCAAAATCTTTCAATTGTCAGTCTTATGTTATATATTGAAAGTTAATTTTCATGTGGTATTTAAAACTGAATAAGTGGAAACTAAAGAATATATCAAGATGTTAATTAATAAGTCTAGTTCTAATTAATACAGTTGTGTTGCGGACACTACAGTAATAACTATATACCACATTCATTTATTATTTTCACTTTTTATTTCATTAAATATTTTTGAAATGTAAAACACTTCTCTGATATTTTGCTCCTTTGATAATACAATTAGTTAACTGGATTAAGATAACAAATGGTGATTTTTGTACAAGATAACACTTCAAACTTACTGGTATATATATGGATTTTATTTTCCAGGCCGGATAGCCATTTTTGACTAGCCTTTTTTATTTCCCTATAATATAACACCATTTACTGTACATATAGAACTAGTTAGAGATTAAGATTTTCAGTTTACTCCATTAAAACCAAATATGGTGTCATATAGCAATATTTCAATATATTGTAGTGTCCGCAGCAATTTCAATACTGAAAAAAAATTATGGATGCCTCAGTAAATTCTTTAATTCATTGAATTTATCTATAAAACTATTTGTTATAACTTCTTTAATTGTATTAAAATAAGTAAAATCAGAGACATTTTTTAAAACTGCAAAACAATTATACATCAAGAAATAATTAATGGTCCTTGTTATGTGGTTATTTTCATCTCAATAAACCACATTCTGCATCTTTTTATATGATACCTTTTCAAGAGTTGATTCGGTGGTATATAATTCAGCCTAGAAATGAACATTTATCAACAATTATTTTTATAAAAATGACAAAAGATTATTCTTATGGTTACTTGCAGTGTCCGCAACAAAAATGCTATGCATTTTCAAAGCTAGACAAGATACAAACGAAGATATCCAGGGTGTTATGACAAATGTATTTGAAATTTAGAAGTATTCAATTTAATTTTCACATGATAATTATATAGGTCTTATGTGTGATTGTAAAGGTAGATGAACTTAAGGAAGGGAGATAAATTAGGCAAAAAAATTAGCAAGTCATTAATGTGAATAAAATTTTTGTTTTCAAAGAGAACCATAAGATTTTTCTTTTATTTCACTGCAATTAGGTACATAATCAAAACCCGCAAGAAGTTTGGAATAAATAAATATCTTTAATATTTTATTTTAGACATAACAGGTGTAATGTAGTGTCCGCAACACAAGGTCTCGCCCAAAATTTGACTTCGCATAACTTTTTTCGTAAGAATGCTTATATAAAAAAATTTGGGACTCATTTGCATAGGTATTGTACTTTCTAGAAAACATGTCAATAATGTGCTGTTTGACTTTTTATTTTTTGGTCCAAGTGCAACACAATTAGCACAAATACTGTGAAAATGGCGTATATATAGGCATTTCTAAGCAAATAAACTAAATTAAAATGCCTAAGGACAATATCTATCATACAGAGAAAGTTAAAAGCAACCCACGACATGAGATAGTCAGTACACATTATGACGTCATATTATGACGTCATTGTTCTTTACTACACAATATTATAATGCATGAGCATTGATCAACAAAAATGCTTCAGTGCAAGGGCATGCTCTATTTTATTTAACTGAAACAAGGTATATTTAGAAGCAAATTATTCTAAAGATTGCTGTTATTGCTGCACAAATATCTCAGTTGTATAATTTCTATTTGTAAAGTTTTAAGTTGAATCAGGGTAAAAATGCACAATCCGGTATAAGTTTCCTCAAATTCCGATCAAATGAGAAAATGCCTAGGATTTGTGCAGCAGTTTTATTAATCTATAGAATATTCTTCTTAGCATCATACAATTTTTATGTAAAAGCTGTTTTGTTGATATGTGTTTTATTACCTCCAGTAGGTAAGAACAATGACGTCATAATATGACGTCATAATGTATACTGGCTATAACATACGGTGGGTACGACATGTAAGTATGCAAAGGAAAATAAATAAAAACTTTTTCTGAATAATAAATACACCTCTTATGCATTTTTATTAGCTCATTTGCATAGAAACGCCTATACCTAGCCTTAACTCACATGCGTTCATCCGAATTTTTTTCATATCAATCCTGCCAATTAATTCTTACAAAAAGGAATCCACAATTGGTCTATTGACCGCAACAATTACAGCAGCATTCACAGCAACATTCATAAACGTAAAATAAAATTGAAAATATTTTTTGTATCTACTGGCACTTATCTACTGGTAAATAAAAATTACAGGACATCTATATTGAGTGAAGTTCGTTAAATAATTATATATGAGTGCTTCTATCTCAACAATATCTCAACTCACCTTCTTTGAAAATCTTGTTCTCAAATATTGAATTGGAACATTCTGAACCTCCGTCAACAGATTGCCAGCAACCTATCCATAGTCCCATGTTGATGTCTTTTCCATCCAACCGGAAATACCACCAGTGATTTGTGCAGAAACAAATAATGAAGAATAACAAGTTGATGGCATAGCAACCAAAGGCTCCAAAAGACAGGTAGGAGTGTTGAGGTCGAAGTCTGTACATGGTTTTAGCTAAACAACGAAACGTTAGTTCTATAATTATTCGTTCTAACACCAGTGTCGATGATATATGATTGCGCCCATGACAAAAGGGCCTTATGGCAATTTTGCTAAAACAGAGATATAACGTCATAAAGATATGACGTTGCAGACGGTGAGCGTCGACGCAGATTTTTTTTATCCACGTGTTTTACATTTTGACACGTCTAGCTCACTTTTGTCGTTGTTCTCAACATTGAAATAATTATCTATTTTCATTTATATCTTTAATTCACGTCTTGATCTTCTAGTCCACTGATATTAATTAAAATATTTAGAATTTTATTCGAGACCCGTTTCTTTACTACATGTTATTGTAGCTTTATACGTCTCTGATCTGGGCTATGCATTTCCTATGTACATGTATAGAAGCTTCAGACAAGGTGATTTTCTGGATAATTGAATATGGATGAACGAATGCGATTTTGATATATAGACAAATTGAAGTTATTTATTAGACATGGGTATATTATCAAAATATTGCAGAGGAAATCGTTTTTCTGTATAAGATCCGCCCCACCATTCTCAACATATCGATCATGTAAACATTGAAGCATTGGTACATCGTGTATAAATTTTTGTTGTTAAATGCTTTAATTGCCAAAAATTTGAAACTGATCACACTTCTTCCAACAGAAAAGAAAAGTATTCTTGTAAGTTTTCACAAATCTAGCAGAAGTACGAACGAATGACAGACGTGATATTATTTTTAATATATTCGATCAGTGCATATTATCTATTCAAGATATATTACTAAAGTCAGGTACTCTTCACACAATTGCTCCGAAGAAAATAGTTCCATTCATGATCAGTAGATACAACATTACAACAAATGTTAAGAATAATGATGTATATTTAATACGTTAAAGAAAACAAAATTAACGTAAAAAGATTTTAAATGAATCACTTTTCCCAAGAAAAGGAAATAAAAAGTTTTCATATTCCTACGCTCGCTGCCTCCTCAGTCTTTTTCACGAAAATATATAGGTCATCCTTCGATTGATAGTGATAAATCTTTTCACCAATTATATAACTGTCATGATTATTGTTCGTTAATTGCCGTATATTTTCTTTTGAGTGAGAATATTAATCATTAACTGTGTGTGTGTGTGTGGTTTTTTCTCTTTTTTTAAATAACGGAATGGTTATTATGTTGTTAAACACCTGCAATCGTAACTTCTCGGCAAAGCAACGTGATTTGCCGAGCTCGTCTGAAAGGATCTTCGCACGTGTGTAAACCTAGTCTATTTGGTCTTGCAAGCACAGGTATGTGCATCGTTCGCTAGTGACGCTTAGATCATGTAGACTGGGTATCAGTATTTGCTACGGACATGAAGAAGAACTATACACCAGTTTCATAACAAGTGCAGGTTTTTTTACTCAAGCCCTAGACTGGGCTAAAGGGGCTGAGTTACCCAAAACGATGCTAGGTCATTGATCTACTCAGTTTAAAAACACGAAAATATACTATTTTTGTAAATAAAAACATTTCTAGAAACAAAAATGAAGTTTATCTTCAAAACGTCTCTATATTCAAAATCTATATAAAGTGTTAAATGTCGGATTTTATTCTATGACGAAGGAGTGATGCTCCACAGCCGCAACCGATCTCGCGCTTTCCTTTGCGTTTAACAACGGCCGTCAATGCATCTCTAGACGAGTTCATTGATTACTCTTGTTGACCCATCTTTAACATCTGCCTATACTTTGAGTTAAAGTACTTTAATAGCACAAAATTAAAAAATAAATTAAAATCTATCCTTGATAGATCTATAGTTTTGCTATTTATAAAAATTGGGCTATCTTTGATCTTTGCTTGGACTTGTTTCGAATTTTTACAGAAGATTCTAACATTGGAAAGTTAGATGGTACACATGTAGCACAGGCCCATAGTATGCGGGATTTTTTCGGAGCCCCCCCCCCCTTTCACTTTGAAAACGTTGCTACAGGCCTGTAACATGCTATTTGGATTAAATATTCCTGAAAATGAGTGAGCTGTTAAATACATCTTTAAAATTATACGGTTAATTATATTTAGTCTATGTTCTATGTGAAATTAAAACTTTTTCTATAGGCATCTGCAACGTTGTGATAATAAAAGTCACTAATCGCATGTAACGTTATATACATGTATGTACATGCAGTTTCCTTAGTACATGCATATTTTATTCAACAAAAGATGTTGAAACCCAGTAGCCTAAATATTATGTCATTTTAGGTTATTTATGGCCATTGTATAGTTGACTTTCTACAGCTTGAGTATCTCTGACGTTTTATCAGTAAATAGTTTTTTTTTTTAAAATTAGAAATCATCTGAGCACAATGAAAATTCGAATAAATTAAAAGTCGAATATCTTGGATATGGGGTAACCCATATCTATTCTTGTTAAGAACTATAAATAAAAACAAGAGAGGTAACTCTGACAAGCGAGATACTAGAGAGGTACCAGAGAGGGACTTTTTTTTTTTTAAACACCATTCAAAATCAACATAATCATTCAAATTTGCTCCCGTAGTATAAAAAATATTTCTAAAAATCTTACTTATCATCAGTTAAAAAAACGTTTTAATTGTAAGTATTATATTTATATTTTCTTTAAAAGTATTTTTGAAAGCTCATGGAACTAGCTGCTGTCAAAGTGAAAGAGAAAAAAAATATAGAATAAGAAATAGATGCTACATTGAACCAGACTTTCATTTATTTTTTTTAAATCTGTTACATGTGCATCTATTTATTTCAACATGAAATTATTTCTTAAAAAAATTGAATTTTAATTTTTTTTTTCTCAGTAATAATGATCATAAATTTAAATAAAATAAAATTATATTAAAAAAAAATTGTTTCGTCTTATTTTTGTTGTTGCCACTTCCGATGTAAGTACTTGAAAACAAACAAAAACTACCGAATGAAATAAAATTCTTCTAATTGTTCTAGCTTAAAAAAAGTTTACATGTATGTATACCTGATGTGTGAGAGAGAGAGAGAGAGAGAGAGAGAGAGAGAGAGAGAGAGAGAGAGAGAGAGAGTGAGAGATGTTACATTAAATTCAGTTTATTAATACAATGTGAAATGTGAAACAGAACAATATCGTATTATGAAAAGAAATCTCTATCTCTTTTTTTTCTTTTGCTGTCTATTTATTTTCAGTAACTCGAAAATATAACATTTTGGTAATCGTGTTGTGCATAAAAAAGTTCAAAGGTTTTAGCTTTATCTGTAGTTTTTAGTCACTTAAAAGTCAAATATATGTAATCCTTGTCATTCATAGAATCTCAGCATTGTATGTCATTACAGTTCTATTATCAATCTAAAACTCGTTTTCTTATTGAAATAATAATCTCAGTTATCGGTTTAGTATGATATTGCTTAACTTGCCGTTGAATTATGTTAACGGGCTGATTTTGTTATTTGGATTTATTGAAATAAATCTTGTTAAGATCAAATTGTATTTAACTATGCATTGAACAAATTAAATTAAATGCTAAAAATATACGGCACAAAAGACTAAGAATATGTTTGCAAGTTTTTATTTTTGTGGCAGTGCAGGAGACCGGGGAAGAGGGCCAGGGTCATTTTATATTACCGGGACCTAACTACTTTACAGTGTATCTGTAAAGCTTTACAAGGATAAGCATATCCAAGTCTCTGGCATGGGGCCAGAATGGAATTTTTATATTGTAAAACTTCATATACAATAACATTTGAAAACAATAACATTAGAATTTCATACGATAAAGAAGCCGCGAGAAATGGGGGGGGGGGGGGGATTCTACACACACCATCACATAACAATAATTACATGTACCTAAATGTGTGCCACATTGTAAAAAAATGTCATTTAAAAACTCAGCCAGTCAAGGAATATTATGAACCAGTCGCATTTAACTGACTGGATATATAAAACTTTCAATTAATTTTTACCCCCCCCCCCCCGCCGAAAAAATTCTATTAATTAATCTGCATGTCATTGATTCATAACGACAACATATATATAATTATTTATGATTTATTTTTTTTGAAAAATCTATATTATATTAATTTTAAAAAATGACATATTGATTTCATTCAAAATTTGTTGAAATGACAATAAAATATCTGATATCTATTAATACCCAGTGTATACATGTTCTTCTAAAACCATTTAATTTTACAAAATCAAACAAAATCGTTATTCTAGGACGCAATTTTTCTCATGATTAACTAGATTTGATAGCAGTTAAGTTTCCAGTTCCAGGTATGTGGAGCTCATGATCGCTGTTTGTTTTGAAAATGACTCTGCTCATATACATGTACGTAAGGAGAGAGTTCAAGATGCAAAAATAAATTGAGGAATTATTTCAATATTATTTCAAACCTAACCACATGACGTATTTGGAGGTTATGGGGTTGGTGGTGGGAAGGCACCCCCCCCCCCCCCCCTGCACACCTAAAATATAGGAGGATTTTAAAAATACGACAACCCTCGTATGCTATTAAACTCATGTTAACTACAAGTAATGTATGTTTCTGTCATTTAACTTTTAACCCCCCCCCCACACACACACACTACCAACCACTGGTCATCCTGGATCTGTTGTGTTCCTTTCATTTTAAATGCATGTGAATCATAATTCATTCATTTGTTTATAATTTTTCAACCTGCTTACTTAAAATTAATTATTCAAAAATTTTCCTTGCTGTGACTGGAAAAATGTGTATCATTTCAATTAAAAAAAGAAGTTTTGTTACCACATGCGAGCAGAAGCCCTTCTGATTTTTTGTTTAAAAATTTTTTATCGAATATTGCTTAACATGCAGTGTATCAACTTAATGTCCTTAAATTGTTGTACAGCATATACGGTAACTCTCTACATTTCACAAATTTTCTGTCTAATTATATTTAGAAAACAAAACAAAAAAAAAAAAAAACAAACAAACAAACAAACAAAACAAAACAAAAAAAAACAACAAATTTTCACTACCCAGCAGCATCTATTTTATTGTTGTTACCAAGAATTTTTTTGAAATATTTTTTAACTTCACATTTTGAAAGAGATATCGTTTATACTGAATTCAACCCCCCCCCCCCCAAATAAAAAAAAAAAAAAAAAAAGGAATTGACATCTTGTCCTATCGAGAGCCATGCTTAAAATGAGATGATTTTCTAATGAATTCTACAGGTTTCTCAAACGATTATTATACGAGATAAATACTTTGGTTTTGAGAGAATAAATTGATATTGAACAGAAGCCGCTTGCTTCTCGGGTTTTCCTGACATTCCAGCATAGTGAAATGTAAAACAAACAAACGAACAAACACTCATAATTCTATACACCGCTGCATGATGGATAATAGTTAATACAACTATTTATTATATTATACAATTATTAAAAGAGACAAAGACTCAAAAATGTTTCTGGAAATGCTCAATAACATAAATTTATTACCGTAGTACAATGCAAAGTGAAAGTCATGTTCACTCTGAAAACTTTTGACGTTGGTGCGAAAGTAACATGACGTCATTGTTTACCTGTTAAAGTATCATTGATATAAATGAAGAAAAACCCACTTAGAGTTGACGTAGGGCCATAAAAATTCAGATTTGGCAACTTCTAACCTTGCTCTATTAATATCCATGAAAAACTTAAAATGTGTAAAAATTGCCATAAGGGCCCTTTTCCCATGGGCGCAATCATATATTATTGAATGGGGATTACAAGGAATATAACTTTAATGAGCGAAGGAGTGATATGGTAAGGGTTCAATATAAACTTATAACGGCAGAGGCAAAAGGATAGAATTCTTCCATGAATATGGTAAAATAACGTTCATTTCAAAATTAAATGCAAGACAAATATGTAAGACAGGGGTGTATTTCAATATACCCTATTTTTTCCCTTCATTTAACATAAATCTTTCTTTCATGTTTCGTTCGTAAAAATGAAACGCACAGACATCAAATGCGGAAGTGAAAAAACACCAATATTAGAAAAATGTTGGATCAAAATGTTTCATACCATATCAATAGAGGCTTGGAAATGAGACTGAGATTATGGACAACAGGTCATATTGAGGTCATAATCACCGAAACATCTATAAGTCACACATTTACATGAAGAAATAATGCCGCCAGTCGCCATTCTTCCTTGGTATAGAGTTCACAGTACATAAACAAACGTACTACAATACCACTGTCATAGCTCGTTCCACACGACCTATAAGAAGGGTTTAAAGGGTATCTGGTTTTTTCATTCATCTGTGTATATTTATTCCTTTTTTGTTCATGGTTATCTATTTAATTCATCGTACCTTTCTGTCCAATTATATAGCGGTTTACCTGAACATCGTGCGCTAATACTCTAGACACCGCCGACTTTCGAACTTTAGCTGAAAAACTCTTTAACAAGGCTTTGCTTTTATAGACTTGTAGTTACTGTACAGTCAAGGTAAAGTCCATGTTTTTTTTTTGGGGGGGGAGGGGCGTATGAAATCATAAGATTAATCCCCCCCCCAAAAAAAAAAAAATTCTGACGCTTTCTTTGGAAGGGAAATGGCTAAAGACAAAACCTGGGGCAATGCAGCTTAAGTTCATGGTCTTCTCTTGTTCTTCTAAGAACTTCGGATGGGCCCACCTTTTAAAGGCTAGAGGATCCTAAACCATTTTCAGTTCAGTTTTCTTTTTATACTTATTAGCACGGATAACTCTTTGGGGGAGGGGATTGGACCCTCCAGACACTCTCTACTAGATCCATGCATGATACTTCTAGTTAGCATAATAATAATAATCAAAATTGATTAACACTTTTTGACCCTTACTTGGATAACTCTTAAAACTTTACCATCATCAAACACCCGTCCTGATGCTATTTTCATAATTAGAATTGGGTTTAAGTGGTAGAACACACTAAAGACTTTCTACAATTGCATGAATTTACTTGGTAACAATTTTCTCACTTTTAAAAATAATTTTATCTCGAACTTGAGGTACACGTACATTTTGATGTTCAAAACAACGAGTGTAAAACATAACATACATAGCTGAAAAAGTCAAATAAAGCAAACTAGCTAGTATGGGTGTCATTTTTCAAAATATATAGTTAGCCACTTCGTAATCAAATAAGAATTGTCAAGTATTATCTGACTCTTCTGAATGCAAAGTCTATTACACTGTATAAGGGCTTATATAAGGGCATATTTTTCAGATCATATATTTTAAACTCTATCCAAGAAAATAAATGGAAAGTTTCTCTTGAGGGAAAGGAGATGGGAGGAGGTTTAACATTTCTGTAGACATTTTTTTTAATTTTTTTTTTATTATTTTTATGTTTTAATTTACGGTTATGACAGTTTCACAAAAAAAAAGTTACAACTGTTAAACTAGGTTTTATCAATATTATAGAACATAGCTGACGAAGCGCATGCAATAGCTACCAATTTGTATACTTTTTTTTATCTTTAAAACTAATTTAACGGTTGTTAGCTTTACGAATGCTAAACCAAGTTTGCCTGTAAATGAAATGTGAAAATAAATAACAGTAATCATGCTCAAAAGTCAAATTAAACAATAGTATTTGTAAGCAGAGCAAACACAGACCTCTGACAACATCACAACATCAGAGGTGGGATCAGGTGCCATGGAAGAGTAAGCATCACCTGTCGACCGATTACATCTGCCGTGTGCCCTTATCATGATTGTTTAATCGGGAAAATGTGTAAATAAATAGTACGAAAGGCAGCAGTCAACATTAGACCTAAGGACAGATTGCATTTGCAATCAATGTTTTACAAAGCCTCTTTCTTTACGCCACACAAAATAATTAACAGCAGTGGAGAAACTTCAGCAGTACTGTGCAACAACATATTCAAGAGATGGTGTAAATCAAAAGCGGATACCAAAAAACCCAAAGAAACTTTAGGAAATTTGAAATCACAGTTTTTCCAAAATCAATAGCATCAAAAACTTATGAGTTTTCAACACTTTATGCAAATATCCCCTACTTAAAATTAAGGACCAGGCAACTGCTTATCAATTAAAGTGGAATTAAATTCTCAGTTATCTTGTCATTCGTCATCTACAATTTTACTACATGTTTATGTTGAAAACCATTCTGATTCTATACACAAGTACTAGCTCTGAGGATGATATTAAAAAGATGCTGAGTTCCTTATTGACAATATCTCTGTCGTCTTTGGAAACCAGTCTTCCAACAATCTTTTGAAATACCATTGGATCCTAATTACGCCCAGTTATCAGCAGACCTGTTTTTGTACTCGTATGAATTTATTCAAAAACTTCTACATAAAAAAAGTCTTTTCATGTAACCTTCAATTCGACATTTAGATATATCGCGATCGATAATTTTTTTTTATCAATCAACAATATTCATTTTCATTAATGCGTACATTAGTTCAGTTTATCTCACTGAAGTCGATATAAAAGACACCACAGAGTCTGGCTCACATCTGTTTCTTATTTGGTTGTTTTACTAGATAAAGACATTGGTGGCAAATTAACAACTTAACTTTGTGATAAACGTGATGACTTCAACTTTCCTTTATTTATGTAGCAATACATACCATTATCATTTGCTTATAGGGTTTATGTTTAAAATTGATACGCAAGAGCATGTTCTACTACCAACAATTTCTAAAACGAGACAAGCTATTGCTAAATAAGTTGATGATACAAGGCCATCAATAATCTCATTTGATCAACATTTTGCAAATTCTATCGTCGACACAATGATTTTTTTTAATTTTTGCAAATTATAAAATTTGAAGGTCTTGTTGGTCCCCTTTTTTGTTTGCTGTATAGTAAAATCATGGTAAATATATAAGTTTTGGTTGTGAAAAAAAATTGGAACCTCCCCCCCCCCCCCCTCCACATATAAACACGAAATAGGATTTTGGCGTTAGGACAATCTTCCTCCTTTTTTTTCTTGTTAAAGTTTTTCCATGTTAGTTGTCAAAAAATTAAAAAAAAAAACCAAACAATAAACAACAACAACAAAAATCTGGCTGCCTCTCCTAACTTTAATAACGATACAACGTGTCTGTAGTATTGTACAAAACATCACATGTACAAATATCCAAGGTATATTGTACAAAATCACCATTACATAATTATAAAGAATACCATCGCATAAGAGAGCTAAGTAGAGTTCCAATGATATTTTGTGATATAGAACCATTTTTTAAATTTACAAATTTAAAGCCAGACGTTTACATCTAAAAATCATAATTATTTTCTGCTATACAAATAAATTTCTTGACATCAAATAATTCTTTCTTAACATCTGAAATTCGAAAGTTTGATGTCAATAACAAAATCCTCAAAACTTTTAAATTCCAGAAAAGCATCTAAAATTAATGGCGTCGAACAGGAAAGTCTGATATATGCACACATGCACACAGATTTTTGATTTTTCTTCAGCTCCATCTCTTCCAATAGGACAGGCGAAAGATGTGTTATTTTATATTATTTTAACCTAAATGGGGACTTTTAGAATACATGTAATTCTAGACTTGTTTCTTCGAAAAATCATGATAACCACTGATTGCCTCTATTCTTCGTTTGGAAACGTTATATATATAATGCTAATTAAAAGTGTGAATATTATATAATGCATTTATTTTTATAAATAATGATGCTTGTTTAAAAAAAAAAACAAGGAAAATCAGTTTTGGTATGCCTGACTCACATTTATCTTCACGCAACTCGTTACATCGCTGGAAGAATGAGGAAAAAGATGTTTTAAACAATATTTAGTTAGAAAAATACAAAAAGCCAAAGTATACATATACAATGAATTGTATGAATGTATATACAATACCTGTAAAGAAACACACACACACACCCACCCACAGAGAGAGAGAGAGAGTTCAATATGACCATGATTTTCAATTGTCATAAAAAGTAGGAAAAGGGTTTTCACTCTGCTCATTTTACTCTAAATAATCATTTAAATTGGAGGTTTTATTAATCAAAGTTTATCAGTTGGGAATTCCCTTATCAGGAAATCCTTCTCATTATTTCCCTGAGATTGGTCATCCGGGGGAACAGTTCATATAGCGTCTCTATTAATTATCAGTATTAGATGGTAGGGAGTTTAGATGCAAACTTAGTTTAATGTTTTTTCTTGGACAAATGAATTTGATTGGTCATTTTGTACATAGCAAGAACCTTACTTTGCAAGAATCTTATTGAATTACTGACTTCCGTTGATTATTTTTACTTAGATTATTTTTACTTATTGGTTCCCTGTTAATTTGTTGTTGTCATACACTGGTATTTACAAGACCCACGTGATTACCAGTGTTAGTAGATGTCAGTGAACTTCTCTTATTTGTTTCAGGATTTCGATTTGTAGCATTTATAATTAAAAAAAAATGGAAATACCACACAACAAAGACTATTAAATTGGTTGTTTTTATGCTAAAAATACTATTTTACAACAAATTAAGTTCGACAATACCTTCAAATGTAACTTGCTGTGCAGTAAAGTTATTCTTATGTAGAACATATGGTATTCAAAACAATAATTATAAAATTACATCCACTCCAATTTAACGCTACTTGAATAAATGTTTTTTGATTATGACTGTCGTTATGATCTTTGCCAGCTGTGGGTGACGATCCGCTCCTCTTCTCTTTTTTGAAATGGACTGAAATATAAAAGATTTCGGTAGTTAGTACTTGAAGTACTAGTATCAGTTAGTATTTGTTACGCCATTTGGAATAAAAGGCTTTCTTTCAGACATGTAATATTTTCTTTTTATTATATTGTAAATATCTTCTCTTCACTGTTTTGTCAGTTATGAGAATAAAGTTCAAGTTCAAGTTCTACTCTTACAAATAAAAGCTTCGGTTAACCTACCTACTCTCCTCATATACCCCGAAGCGCCAAGTCAAAAGTTTCTCGCCGTAAGCCATCTAGCATGTTAATTTAAGTAATTGGGATCTTATTAATAAGCATAAAAATTGGAATAAAGTGATCAGGAACTTCAAAGTCCAATATATAAATATCTGCTCAAAAGGATATTGCAATAAGGTACGTCTCTTTTTATAACATCTAATAAGATAAGTTATTTTTGTCTCGTTTTTATTTATCTAACATTTACAAGTGTA